GGTGGCCATCCTCCAAGCAGCAGCAGCAGCGGCAGCATCGGCAGGAGCGGCTTTTGGCTGCTGGGCCGTCGAACAAAGGCGGTGGTCACCGCATCGCGCGGTGCTTTCAGTTGCGCTTCTCGCGGCCGTCTGGAACGCTCTTCCTTCCGATATTAGGAAGCCATTGGGGAGCTACGCTGCACTTTAAAATCATCTCGATCTTGCGAATTGATTTTGTGTTTACTTTGTTGTCCGTCTCCCTCACCTCCGAGTAGTGTGGTTAGCTACGTACGGTGCGAAAATAGTTCGACCAGGTATGGATACATATCCATACCTGCATATTCAATTTAATATGTTGATATATATATTCATCCAGTAGAGCCACACTGAGTCGTACGACGCTTTTTCAGGAGGGTCCTGCCACATTTGATCAGAGAACACATGCATGTTAACATCATCCAACCTGTTAAAACTAAACTTTTTTAACCAGGTAAGGCCCACTGAGCTATGTAGGTTTTTTTTCTCTCAGAAGCGACCTGGCAACAAATTATAGCTCAACTTAGTTTCTTATCATGTGGACATTAATAGCAGCAATATACCACCGAACGTGTCCTTCTAAATGTGGAGGGAAAACCCGAAGAACCCGGAGAAAAATCCACGCGACCACGGGGAGAGAGACACGCAAACTCCAAATACACAGCAGGGGTCGGGATCGAACCCACGCCCTCCTGCATTCCAGGACCAGTGTTGTTATATGGTGCAGAGATACGAGGACTTCAAAGAAAGTTGAACGATGCGACAGCACCGCAGGTGGAGATGAGAATGCTGAGATGGATGTTGAGAACAGCTCTGCAGGATGAAGACGTTGAAGCCTTGGCAGAGACAGGACGGTCTTGAGCCTGGACTTTAGCGATGGAGTCAGCAGCACGGGTGGCTGGTTGGGAGACAGTTTCCAGGCTTTGGAGCCAGCAGAGGAGAATGAGCGGTGGGGGGGGGGGGCATGACCAGCATGTCCGGTGCGGCGTTGGGCTCACTCGGACTACTGCCCCACCTACGGGATGATGGTTAAACTGCGGCTGTGGAGCCCGAGGGAGGAGCGTCGCGTGGCACTCAAAGCGGCGACGCCCCCTGCCGGGAAGCAAGCGCACCACTCCAACAACGCACACGGTGGCTATGAGATGTTAACCACCTCGCTTGGTAGCCAGGAGGTCCTGGGTTCGATCCCGACCCTGATGCCTGTATGTTGGGAGTTTGCATGTTCTCTCTCTCTCCCTGTGGTCAGGTAGATTTTTCTCCGGGTTCTGCCGGGGGTTTTTCTTTGTTACCAAAAATTGCCCCAAATGGACAACCGCCGGTAAAAAGGAAACCCGAGGGGATGAAGAGGATTAGCGAACAGAGTTTTTTTTCACCTCCACATTTAGAATCAACAACGCGCGTTTAGAGTATATGGCTGTTTTAAATTATCCACGTGATGATAAGCCACTTCGTTGAGCTATACCCATTTGTGGTGGCCAGGTCACTTCTGAAAGAGAGTTATTCAGCTCAGTGAGGCCTTACCTGGTAAAAAAATATATAAAAAGGGCATTTAGTTTTTAAAAAGAGTTTAGCGCACGACTCAAATAACGCGCGCACGCGAACAACGTTGGAGGCCACGTAGACAGCCGTGGCCAGCAGCTGGTGCGGGAAATGAGTGCGAGTACAAACTCCCAGGTTCGAGACGCGGGTGAATTTCGTTTGACTCAATGAAGTATTTATTTAAAAGTCATTAAAAAAAATCAAACACAAAGTTAAAAAAATGTCATTGTGACCAACGTCTTTCAGCGATCAGCATCAACAGGTATAATGCTACATGAACGTGTGTGCGGTGATACATACATACATTACAATATATATACACACACACAATACTAAACACTTAAACTCTGCAGTCAGTGGCTGAGATACAGCCTTGTTGCTGTACTGCCTAATGCTGACACCACCTCCTTTGCACCATGGGTGGCAGCCTGGTGGATGTAAATCTCTTATTGAATTCACCAACCCCCGGCTTTGAAGTCAACAGATTTCCACTTCAGGCCGTGTCCGCAGAAAAGTTCATGCGACAGCTCCATCCATCTTACAAGCTCGTGCGTCTCTCTCAACGTCCATCCATCGAAAGATGAAGCAGTAAAAAAAAAGCTCCGTTTATCTGACACTTTACCATCCGGAATGATCCATGAACCGGCATCTGTCGTAGACGCCAATGGAAATCTTCCGTTGACGGATCCGGAGAAAATTCCGGCAGCCGTCGGGCATCTTGCCGTGCGCTTCTCGTCCATCCGTCGCTGTTGTCGTCGTTGTTTACGGCAGCTTCAGGACACTGCCGCGTGTCAGGCGCGAGCGGCAGTCTGTACATGCATTGCTTGCACTGTACTCGAAACGGCCCCACTGCTTCACTGCAATCAACTTGGAATCCTCGACAACTGACTGGTGAGTACCTCTGCACACGAGTAGGCTATTACGTTTCAATATCGTAGTCAATGTGGGCTTAGATGCCTCCTTGAAAAATGCCACGTGCTCGGAAAATTTGGTGAACCCGGAGCATGACGCGGCGACATTTAATGAACCGGCACCCTCCGCTCCCCACTGATGCCGGATAACAGAAGTCTCGCTGTACCCTCCTCAAGGCCGTGTCTGCCTCAGTCGCCCCTCTACAAGACAACGTCCCATACGGGAGGTCTCTCTACAAGGCAATGTCCATCTTCCCGTTGTCCTGCAAGGCTGTGTACGTCCGCCGGCTTTGGTCATGAACGTTGCCGCTTTGTCTACCCGCGAGTGTCCTGTCCGGGAAGATGAGTCAGAATGACATCCACGTTCCTCTGCAAGACCACGCCTCTGACACGTGCATTGGCTAGGATGTGTCCGTGACATATCCGCAATCGTTGGTCCACTTAAATGGCCATACACACACATTTGTCCACGTGCCCATCCACATCTTTGTCCGCCTACGAAGACAAAGATCCCCCGCGCGGCCTTTAGCAAACTGTTGGGGAAAGTGCTGCTAGCGAGTAGCACCCACGAAGGCCGACACGGCACACGAGGGGGTGGGTGGCCAACACCACGCCCGGCCGCCTTTATCTCCCCGGTGCTTATATGTTCACGCATCACAAAAAGTAACCATTTAAGGACGAGTCGATCCAGGGAAAGCCCAGGACCAGATAAAATGTTCGCTCCTGTTATTGGCCGTGTATCTCGGCCTCGCTCTGCGTTGCGTTGCAGCGCTAGCTCAGTAGATAACCTCGCGTTTCCAATAAACCCTCAGAGCCAGGGTGAACATCTGACTCCGAACGTCATTTATTGAAATTGAACGGTAGAGAGAGGTAAAACTGGTAAGAAAACAGCACAGATACAGCATCTGTTCATACCCAGAAAAACCAACACATTGAATAAACACCACAGCATCATAACGTTGTCTTATGAATGAGACATTTTGTTATTTCAAGTTTGAATCTACTTACTTGATTACGGGTAAATCACAAGGCAAGCTGCAGGCTTTATTGTCCACTAGGCCCCACATACATCGTAACAATTTAACAGCATTATAAAGGTTCTAGCGTTATAACAGCATTATAAAGGTCCTTCTAATATTATAGCAACATTGCCAGTATCATAAGAACACAAACGAACTTACAGACAATGCTTCCCAAATTCCCACAACGGTGGCTGCAGCTGTCTTCACGGAGCTGCGATGTGTGCCGCCATCTTGAATTATGTCTTTAATGGCCGACGCCCACGTGGTTCAGCGGAAATCTAAAATCGCAACTTCCTGGTCACGTGACCACCCCCTATTTCAAAAACAGGAAATTCCCGTGTGCACACGCCCCACATCTGCCGTGAGGCAAGACACTTGCCGTGAGGCAGGACACCGTGAGCGGCAATTAAAACTCTGGTCACCGATTTCGCAGCGCGCTAGCTGCCGCGCCACCGCTCCCCACCGTCCACCTATGGAGTGTTAATTTACACCTCGTGTCCACCTACGAGTTCACCAGTGTCGGGCCGTGTATTTCACACCGAGGCCTTCAGTGCTATCCTCCCGCAATTCAACCGCCTTCGCATAACCTCACCATAACACGAGGGCTACAGGCTGTTGTCATTCACCGTAAGCACCCCATATTCACAGTGACAGTAACCTCTATCGAGTGGAATAAAGTGATTTAACACGAAGCTCAACACCTGCGAGAGTTACAATACACTAATTGCAGAGACATGAATACATGGTGACTGAAACCATCAAGGATGTAGCACTATTACGCAGTATGACAGGATGCTGCATCACAAATAGACATCGCATAGCCCAAATGGATATCATTACCAAAGAAACAACCAGTCGCATTTACTCATACGACCACCAAGCAAGCAAAAATGCCGTAGAACACAAATAACACAATCAGGATTCAACAGGCTTCCCCACCTCTTAGGACGATGCTACGCTACGTGCTAGCTAGCTAAGTGGCCCTCCGATCACGCCACACGAATAATGATAACGTCACGAAGAATGATAACGTAGGCGGCTAGGCCAGCTAGAAGGCTCCGGCGTGTCAAATAATAGGCCCAACATGGCAAACTCGAAATCTGATTGGTTTAAGAATATGACGATCAACAACATCGTCCCCATTTGCTTCAACAGCAGAGGGGATTCACTCGAGATTCTGAAAGCCTCAGGGTAGATTTTTTTACCCGGAGAAGCGGAGACAGCACCAGTGGAAAATCTGAATGGATAAAAGCTCTAATTTATATGAGCTGCACTGGAAGCAGCACAACTGAGGGAGAGAGGAGCAATGAAATGACTGATGGGAACGAACTTTGTAAAATACACATAGCATTTATGAAAATATCAAATTATAAAAATGTAATTTTATGATTCTGACAATCTCTAGGCCAGCAGAGAAGTCCTTGCTGGCCCTGACGGCCCAACTCTGGAGTTCACGCACGTGCCCGTCCCCCCTCGTCCACGGTCCACCCGCGCCTCCATCCCGCGCGTCCACCTACAAGTAAAGTCCACTGACGCCCTCGTCCACGTGCCCGCGCGAGTCACTGTCCGAGCGTCCGTCCGCCGCGAGCCCGCGCTCGTACGCGTCCCCGCCTTCGTCGGCGCGCGCGTGCCCGCCCGCCAGCTCGAACGCGCGCCCACCGTGTCCCTCGCCCGCCTCCTCGTCCCCGCCGTCCCCGCCGTCCCCGCCGTCCCCGCCGCGGCCTCCGGGGCCGTCCGCCACCATCGCGGCCGCGAAGCCGCCGACGCCGACGCCGCCGCCCGCCGCCGGCGCCGCCCCGCGCTGGTGCTGCTCGCGGAGGTGCCTGCGGAGCGCCGGCTTGTGCGCGAAGCCGACCTGGCAGTGCGCGCAGCGGTGCGGCCGGTCGCCGCTGTGCAGGTTCATGTGGTCGTGCAGCGAGCTCTTCTGCGTGAAGCAGCGGCCGCACAGGGCGCAGGCGAAGGGCTTGACGCCCGTGTGGATGCGCAGGTGGCGCGTCAGGTTGCTGCTCTGCGAGAACTGGCGCCCGCAGCGGGGGCACGTGAACACCTTGTGCGTGCGCATGTGCGCCCACAGCACCTCGGCGTGCGAGAACGTCTTGGGGCACCGGCCGCACTCGAAGTGCTTCGCGCCGACGCCGGCGGTCGGCGAGACGCCGGCCGCGGACGCCGAATGAGCGGGGGCGACGGAGTAGAGGGCGAGCGCCGGGTCGCCGTGCGGCCGGTGCCCGGAGGCCGCGGGCGGCGCCGTCAAAACCGCCGCCCCGGCCGGAGCCGAGCGGAAGGAGAAGGCCCTGACGCCGCCGCGGCCGCTCTTCGCTTTGCTCGGCGGGACGATGCCAAAACGGCCGGCGCCCCTGCCGGCGCGCAGCCCGACGCAGCCGCTGCTGCTGGTGCCGACTCTGGTGCCGTCGTGGTGGTGGTGGTGCTGGTGGTGGTGGTGTAGGCTGGAGGAGTACACGGGGCTGTGGCCCGGCATCTGGAAATACGGCTGAGCGTTCGTCTCCTCCTGCTGCTGCTCGCCGTCGGAAACGCCGGTGCCGGTGATGATCGTGGCGCCGTCCGGGCTGCCCGCCAGCACCATCCGCTGACGCCGGCACTCCAAGTGGCCGTGCCGCGTGAGATCAGCCGACAAGTGCATGGCGTGGGTGTTTTGCTCGGACGGGGGAGACAGCTGGTGGCGGGCGGACTCCGGCTGACGTCGGTGGTGGTGGTGGTGGTGCTGCGACAGCGCCATCTGTGGACGCCTGGCGTTGGCGTCCCCGTCGAACTCGTCGCCGCTCAGCTGCTCCACCTTGACGATGGAGAGGCTCCGGGGAGGGCACTCCTGCTGCCTGCGCCCGGCCGGAGGCGCCGCTCTCTCCGTCGACCGCTCCCTCTCCGAGCCGAAGAGAGAGCCGTCGAAGACCTTGTTCTCGTCGTCGTCGTCGTCGTCGGTGGCGCCGTCAGCGACGGCAACGCCGCAGCGATCGTACTCCGGCTCGGACGTCCCCGCGCCGTCCGGCATCCGGTCCGACTCGCCGTCGTACGAGCGCTCCGACAGCGGACTGGCGGCCGCGGCCTTCGAGCAAAACCCGGCGTCGTCGTCCGTCGCGGCGCCGTCGCCGCCGTCGCCCGTCGCGCCGTCCGCCCCGTGCAGCCCGAACCGCGGCTGGAAGTACTCGGATAGCGCCTTGGTGCACCTCTCCACGACGTGGTCCATCTGAAGGTAGCTGGCGGCCGTCAGGTAGGCCACCAGCTGCGCGGCCGGCACGTCGAGGTGGCCCGTGTAGCACGACAGCAGCAGCGCCAGCGCGGCGCGCGGCTCCGGCAGCGGCGACACGCGCAGCTCGCCGGCGCTCGGGTTCAGCAGGAACTGGTCGCGGAGGTACGGCGAGCCGGCCGCCAGCACCACGCGGTGCGCCGGGAAGGCGGCGGAGCCCAGGCGCACCGTCACATCGCACAGCTTGCCCTCGGCGCGCAGCGAGTTCATGGAGGCGAGCAGCGCTCCGCTGCCCCCGCACATCTCCAGGCGGAGGACGCCGGCTCGCGACGCCATCGCCGCCGCCGGCGCCGGTGCCGCCGTCGGTGCCGCCGTCGGTGCCGTCGTCGGTGCCGCGGCCGCCGGCGACGACGCTGGCGCCGGCGCCGTCGGTGGCGGAGGGGGCGGGCGGGCGGGCGGGGGGGGAGAGGGGAGAAAGGAGAGAAGTCGGAGGTTCGGCCACGACCCGCAGAGGCAGGCGTTGTCCTAGAAGCATCGGGGGGCGGTGTGCGGGGGGGACGTTTCGCTTCCTTCCCTCTGCCAGATACCGTGAGACGCAGAGACACAGACGAGGACACCCACGTCACGGATGTAACCACGCTCGCGCATTCAACATCGCCAGCATCCGAGAAAGGAAATCGTCGCAGCTGATTTTCATCAAATATACCGACCAGATATTCAGTCAATCATACGAGGCCTTCCCAAGGATTCGGTTGATGAACTGTGTCATGGAAACCGCTGATTAGTTTTTTTTTTCCGTGGCGGGTTACCGGGTCTGGGTTTATGGGTGTTTGGGTTTTTTGAGTTGCTGTTGGGGGTTAAGAGTGGAAGGTGAAGTGTGAGGCTTAGTGTTGATAACTAGGGCTCAGAGTTTAGGCTTAGGGCATCATTTAAGGTGTAGACCAATGAGTTTCAAGGACGACAATGCATATATTCTTGCAGTCACGATAGCTTCAAATCAAGATTGAATGTATCATATTATCAGAGTATGTTTTTTGTTTGTTTGCATTCTGACCACAAGTATTGTGGTTAATGCAGACATGATTCCTCGTAAAAAGGTTCCAGTTTTGTTGCTAGAAAAAAGGGGAAAAAACCAATTCTCATATCAATTAAGGGTTAAGTGTTAGGAATTATGGCCAGGATTAAAAATTAGGGGTATTCATTATGGTTTAGGAGTTCGCGATTATGAGGCTAGTGTTTAGGATTACGGGTTTGGCGGTTGTGTTCATGGTTAGGGGCAGGGGTGCCGCCAGAAATTCTGGGCCCTATGGAAACCAAAATTTCTGGGCCCCCTACATTTTTTACAGGTAAAATTTAACCCAATAAACATGCCCAGTATACTTTAAAAAAGATACGTAGCAGATTGCATAGTTAAAATGTCTAAAGATGAGTACAAAGCCTACAAAAACAAGAAAAAAATATAGAAATATGTACTTGTTTATATAAAAGGGAGAACATTTATTATCTCAATTGCAATTGCAAGCACAACAGAACATAATGTACACATATTGACATATACTTTACATGAACAAGCTTTAGCTGGGTCAAACTGCTCAATCAGGAAACATCAGCTAGAACTAACCCATAATTAAATCAGTCCAGGAATAAAACTAGCTAGGCCAAAAGGGCTCAAAATGAAGACACACCAGGAGTAATGCCAGGCCTAAACCAGTCCAGGACTAAACAAGTACTGAACCAGACATCAACTGTTTGTTATCCAGGTCAAACAAAGTTATGTTCAACATCACTTTATAATGGCCCAGCGGCGTGCCTTTCTGCTGGCAAAATCACGTATCAAATCATCAAAGTTCAGCTTTCTTGCCAGTTTGCTTTCAATGGATAGTATGGCAAGGTGACGAAGTCTATCCTGCAACATAGCAGACCTCAGATATTTTTTATCAGTTTCAGCTTACTGAATGCTCTCTCGCCACCAGCAACGGTCACAGGCAGTGTGCAAAATATTCGCAAAACTATGCAGACCTGCCCAAAAATACTCTGCAGCTGCATCTTGTAAATGCTGTTGAGCAGATGAATTGGTGACAGACACCCTGGGAAAGTGGCACTATATACAGAGTTGAGGTGTCTGACTTCATCTTCAAATTCACAAGTCAGATCAGTGTTGTATTTTGAAATCAATGGCTGGCATACAGAATGGATTTGATCATCACGTAACTGACCCATTTTTACAACTACAGAAAACTGATCCAAGATCTCAGATGTTGTGGCAAACCTGGTACTTAAGTCATTGATTATGTGGTCCATCATGGGAAGAAACACAGTGTTTCTGAATATGGTGTCTGCACTGTGCTCCCTTGCTCCCTCTACCTCTGTCTCATCGTGAAACCGTTTTCTTTTCCTCTGGCGGCTGAATCCTGACCTGAACAGAGGGTTAATGCTCATCTGTTGGGCAACAAGTGATGCTTCAGAAAAGAAACTCTCCCATTCATCCCTCAGATGTTGCATCTCCTCCTGCAATGCTCTGATATTTTCTGCCTCTGTCTCAAGAGTTAATTTCCCTGACTGGAGAATAATATTCCTTTTGTCAATGGCTTGCAGAACTTTGACCCAAACAGTCAACAGAAAAACAGTATCAAAAGTTTCAAAATACTTTTTTAGGCCGCTGGCTTCAGACCGAGCCTCTGGTGTCAGACTGCAGGTTGAGAGGATGGCATCAAGAGCTTCTAGGACACTGGGCAGGTGCTTGGCTATAGGTTGAACAGCCTTAACCCTTGCACTCCACCGAGTGTCTGACAGACGATGTAAAGTGCAACCCGTTTTTGCCTTATAGATGGCCCATCGCTCTGGGCTGGCACTAACAAGTGCATAAAGGCGATTGACAAAGCCAAAAAAGTTGGTAACCTCTGGACTTGATTGAGCTGCATGCACACCAACAAGGTTCAGAGTATGAGACGCACAAGGGGAAAAAGTAGCCAGCTTATTCTTTTTTAATAATTGGGCTTGAACCCCCTTGATTTTTCCAGACATGTTTGCCCCATTATCATAGCCTTGGCCCCTGCAGTCATTCAGATCTATGCCATGACTGTTAAGCACATTTACAATCATGTCTGCAATCTAACTTCCTGTTTTTTTGTGAAAATCTTTAAACTCCAAAAACCTTTCAACAACCTCCCATTTCTTGTTTTCTTGATCAAACCCTACATATCGTAAGAGTAATACATTTTGCTCTGTATGTGAAATATCAGGAGCAGTATCGCAAATGACTGAATAATAGACTGATTCCTCCCTTTCCTTAAGAATACTACTTAACACTCGTTTTCCACATAACTCAATAAATTCGTTCTGAATATCTGAGCTTAAATAGTGTGTCAATCTTGTTCCTGTTTTTTTGTCTCTGACTTTTTGTAGATGTTCGTTGAATAGTGGGTCATAATGGGACAGGAGCTCAAGGGTGCCCAAGAAGTTGCCATTATGAATGTCCCTCAAGTCTTTTGTTTTACCCCTAAAGGGTACATTTCGAGAGGCCAAGAACAAGGTTACATCTAGTATCCTCTTCAGAATAGCTCTATTTTTGTCTATTTCTGTTTGTATGAGCTTCTTCAGCTTGCTGTCTATTCCCCCAGGGACAGCTGCCATTACAGACTGTTGTAAGGTTTTCCATTTTAAGTAGCACTCCCTGTGTGCTTTGATGCTTTTGTGGTTAGGGAATTTATCATACATTCGACGCCATGTTATGTCTTTGATTTTATAACCATGTTGACTGCTTAGTGTGCTCATACAAGGTTTATTTAGCTCATGACCAAATAATACACAAGGAACACAAAATAGTGCATTTGTGCTTTGGCTGTAAATGACCCAGTCTCTCTTAATCTTTTCCCTGCAATTTCCTGACTTTGTGTACTTGAGGTATTCGGGGAAGGCTTTACCTTTTGAATCACGTGGTATTTCTTGTTCTTTATCTTTAGAAGAAGCTATTTTTTCCACAATTTTTTCTCTGTCTGCATTGCTACTTTTGCTGGCCACAAACCAGGATCATTTGACACAACAGTCTCTTCTTCATCTTCCTCTGAGTCTGCTCTCATGGCTTCCCCTGTTCTCTCATCTTCCTCTGAGTCTGCTCTCATGGCTTCCTCTGTTCTCTCATCTTCCTCTCTTCTGTTATATTCCTTTACACTTAGGGCTCCCTCTGTGCTCTCATATTCCACTATTCTCACCGCTTCCTCAACTTCCACACTCTTTCCTGGCAAAACTCTCTGTCTCTCTCTTGTTTCTGTGGGGTTAGGATAGCGAAATCATTTTTGTCCCCCAGTCAACAACAAGTTACAGCTTAGAATTAATATTTTATTAACTGCATTGTTAAATAATATTTAATGAAACATATAACTATACAACACAAGAAAAAAATTAGACAATCTAAAACTTAATTAGTTTTTTACTACCTTGGTAGCTGACCATGTTCACCTTACCTGACACTGAGAGGAGGGGGTCATTAGTAGGAGAACGAGGTGCAGACAATAAAGCTGACTCTGCATCTGTATAAGTCAAACACACACACACGTAATAATAACCATATCATTTTTATTGGCCTATTTAGTTTTCTTAATATAAAATATTAAAATATCTATTTTGTAAACTCCTTATAGCCAATGGTTACTACAGACACATGTTTTATTCAATTTTATATTACTTTTTTCTGGGGCATTTTATTCACATTAAGAACGTCAAGTTTGACAGCATCGATCGTAGCAGCAGCACTGTCACTTCACAGAACACACGACACACACGGCAAACTGATTTTGTAATTTTTGAAGCGTGTAGATTACTTTTTGTTTTGTAAAGTTATCATCATGTGGCGAACACAGTAGATAAGACGTGTTTAGAAGCTTCAATCTTCGTGAAGTTTCGCGCTCAGGCTCACCTTGTTCGGCTGAGACGGGGACGGGGGACGTGGGGGAAGGAGGACGTGGGTGTGCAGCAGCCGCTGAATCTGTGTCTACGAGACATGATAACCCCGGAGACAGCAGAGATGTTATTATTGTTGGATGTAAATCATAATTCGGTAATTATTTTACTAAGCTAGCTAGATAAAAGCAGGTCATGTAGCAACAAAAATAAGTAACTCTGAAAGTTTTGGAATACAGGAATAGGGCAAGCTACCTTTCTTTTTGAAAAACTGTGTGACATACTGTCGACTTCGGCGTTCTCTGTCTTCCCTTTCCTTCTTTTCTTTCCGTTTTTGATGCCCTGACTTTTGATGTGACATGCCTGCGTGTGTCACTGTCTGCACTGCATCATAGCAAGTGCAATAAGCAAGAGACGCTACACTAGCGATCGTAGCTCGGACAGCGCAGGTGGAATGAACCATTGTGAGGGGGAGTGGTGTGACTGAAACAGTAAATACATTATTTGTTTTTTAAATATTAAATCTATGGTCAAAACGGACAAAATACACATTTAGTGCATGAGGGGCCCTAGCACATTTAGTGTATGTATAAAAAAGAGAAAAGAAATAAGAAAATAAAAAGGGGGTCTGCTCTTCTGGGCCCTAAATCAGCCTGGGCCCTTAGAATCGTCCTAACCTTCCACCCCTTTAAGGCGCCCTTGGTTAGGGGATGTGGAATAGGATCATGGATAGGAGAAACGAACATTCTCTAGGGGTTCAGAAGAGTAACGGTGTGGGCCTTGACGAAAGCATCATCTGGGCCACCATGCCAACAGAGGGCTAAGCTGTCGTGAAGCTGTAGCGTCATCTCAGTGAAGTGAACACACGCACACACGAGGAAGGGAACAGCGATTCACGTCAAGTTAAAACCTTCACACCCAAGGGTGCCAGTCTTGCTCTGAGCAAAATGCGTCTGCCGGATTGCTTGCAGCCTCTTGATGCCATCTCAGAATGATGCAGATATGTTTCCACTCAGGCAGCTGGAACTAAACTGAACTGGTGGGCTTAAGGCCCCTGTATTTATACTACTATTTATATTACTGGAAAGTTCTAGAACGTTCTAGAAGTTACTCCAAGTTTACTCAGCACTGCATCTATCTGGAATGTTCTGAAAAATAGGTACAATTCAAAATATCACTGTCCTGGTCACAAAAGCAAAGTTTGTGGGGAATAATAGACATTTTCTGTACTTTTGAGGCATAAGCAATTCGGAAATAACACTTACTACTACCCAGGAACAAACAATATATTGGTACACTGTAGTTCATTCGGCGCATGTGTGTGTGTGATGTTAGATTTGACGTTTGATGCGCGACATCGAAATACAGAAAACAACAGCTGTGATGCCACATCGAGACACGGACCTGGAAAGATACAGCAGCAGCAGTATCAGCAACAGCAGCAGTATCAGCAACAGCAGCGGCAGTATCAACAACAGCAGCAGTATCAGCAGAAGCAACATCAGCAGCAGTATTAGCAACAGCAGCAGTATCAGCAGCGGCAGTATCAGCAACTGCAGCAGCAGCGGTAGTATCAGCAGCAGCAACAGCAACAGCAGCAGTATCAGCAGCAGCAGTATCAAGAACAGCAGCTGTAGCAGCAGCAATATCAGCAACAGCAGTATCAGCAACTGCAGCAGCAGTATCGGTGTTTAGCTCAAGCAATCAAGAGCAGTGTCAGCGTCATAGACGCAGCACCGTCAGCACTCACAACAGCTGTAGCATCGGCAACAGCACACAGCCAGTCTTGCCGTCACCTGCAACATCAGCAGGTGGGACAGCAGTAGCAGCAGCAGTAGGTATCAGCAGTATCATCAGCAGTGTTCGGGAAGATCAGCAGTAGCAGCAGCAAGCGGTAGTAGCGCGTTTAGCAAGCTCAGCAGTGGCATCAGCAGCAGTGTTCAGCAAGCTCAGCAGTGGCATCAGCAGCAGTGTTCATCAAGATCAGCAGTGGCATCAGCAGCAGTGGCATCAGCAGCAGTGTTCACAAAGCTCAGCAGTGGCATCAGCAGCAGTGTTCAAGATCAGCAGTGGCATCAGCAGCAGTGTTCAGCAAGATCAGCAGTGGCATCAGCAGCAGTGTTCAGCAAGATCAGCAGTGACATCAGCAGCAGTGTTCAGCAAGATCAGCAGTGGCATCAGCAGCAGTGTTCAGCAAGATCAGCAGTGGCATCAGCAGCAATGTTCAGCAAGATCAGCAGTGGCATCAGCAGCAGTGTTCAGCAAGATCAGCAGTGGCATCAGCAGCAGTGTTCAGCAAGATCAACAGTGGCATCAGCAGCAGCAGAAGTGACGCACGCCTTTGTGGCTCTATAGGGCCCCAACAGGCGTAGTCCCATCAACAACAACAACAGCAGCAGTGTTTACCGACGATCAGCAGCAGCAGTAGTATCAGCAGTAGTATCAGCGGCAGCAAGAGCACGCAGGGTGCCGGCGTGAACGGGAACGGCTTCCTTGGCGACCCGGATCGGGAAGTTACGCTGCCTCCATCACGGGCGGCGGTGACTCGGGGCGAGCGAGGCGAGGGAGTTGGCCATTAGGGGGCAGTGTGGGCACGCGTGGTGGCCGGGCCATCCCCTAGGTCGACTCAGACAGAAATGGCCGGTGTGTGGCGCGCGGTGGAAATGGTTTGAGAAAGCCGCGTGGTGAAGTATGGTCAAGCAGTCACAGGTTGACAGGCGACTGGCAACGATGATCGAACACATTGGGACTTTTAATTATTTAATTGCAAGTTATTATTGAACACGGCGCGAAAGAAGTTCAACATACGCACATATCGTCAGCGTGTTATGTGCACCTTGAAATAATAATACCGCATTTTAATGTGGGTATACAGTACTCAGTAAATCAATTGGCTTCCCAGTCCCACAAACATAAAGTCAAAGGTATTTTAAGCAGACGAGAACTCACCACGGTCTCATTTGCGAGTGAGCTGCATGGGTGGCCAGAAGTGACAACGTTGCTCCAAAATGTGGAGAGAAGTCAGAGCAAAGACCCTTGCATTACAGGAGAAATCGAAAACAGTGGGCAAACATCAACCACACATTTAAAGCCAGTTGCTCTTAACCTTTGGGTGCACGAGATGCCCTTTCTGAGAACCTTAACCTGGAGTGAACGAGATGCCCTTTCTGAGAACCTTAACCTGTGGTGCACGAGATCCCCTTTCTGAGAACCTTAACCTGGAGTGAACGAGATGCCCTTTCTGAGAACCTTAACCTGGAGTGAACGAGATTCCCTTTCTGAGAACCTTAACCTGGAGTGAACGAGATGCCCTTTCTGAGAACCTTAACCTGGAGTGAACGAGATGCCCTTTCTGAGAACCTTAACCTGTGGTGCACGAGATGCCCTTTCTGAGAACCTTAACCTGGGGTGCACGAGATGCCCTTTCTGAGAACCGAAGGGGTGGAGACTTGAGTAAAGGTTCAGAACCACCAATTTAAGCGACATGATTGCCCTTGAATGTAAGTCGCCTCGGAACATCGTCGTAAACGCGGGACGTTGGTACTGCGGTTCCAGGCACATGCCACCCAACGTTGCTTGGCATCCTTATTGGGATATTATTTTTAAGTCGCTCACGGCACAGTGAATCGAAGCGAGCAATGCCGGTCCGGTGTCGCACTCAATGTGTCTCATCGGCACAAGTCACGCTTGTTCAGCTAAAACGCTGCTGGGTTGGCAGATGTTATTGTGCGGGATCGTCTGTGGTGACGGAAGGGGCTTCTGCCTCTGGACAGTGCCCCCTGTCACCGTAACCCCCGAACCGCCTCTGTCTGGCCAGGGCTCGTAAAATTAAACTGGGATGAAGATAGCGGCCAATGGGGAGGTGAGTTGGTGGGCAGTGAGAGCGAGAGAGGGGCGCAGGGAGGCGGCATTGGAATGAAACTGGGTCTTAGAAATCCGCGGTAGCCCAGATACACTCTCAGAACAACACCGGCGCACGATACATTGTCACGATTCTCGGGTGTTCCCGTGTATCATACTCGTTTCATACAGCACCAAACTTATTCTTGGTTCTTTCGGTAAAGTCACGTTGAGGGAAAACAATAAAATGGCGGTTTGTATTTATTTAAATGAATAAAAAAAACCCGCCACTTCTTTCAATTGTTCTTGCCGTTAGTTTTCACACCTGATGATGACTGCTTGTGTTGCAGTCGAAACGTCGTGAGAATTTTATTGTTTTATATATTTTATTATTTTATTGTTTTCCCTCAACGTGACTTTACCGAGAGAACCAGGAATGTGAATCACTGCAGTCACGAAAGCTTTAAATCAAAAGCACCATTCTTGTTAGGAATCATCAGTAGGGCAGAGCCGTCTCCGCCGACCGCTCTCATGTTTGTACGTCAGTGGCTTTAATTGAATGGATAAAATGACTCCCTGATCACTGGTGGGGACAGTTTTAGTGATTCCTAAGAGCAACAATAAACCAATTCTATCTTCTGCATGCCCATCCCCCCGTCTTGTCATTCCACTGCTGGATGAGGGCCTCCCCACGTCTTTGTAGGTCGTGGGGGTTATTTCACCATACTTCACCACGCAAACCGATTCAAACACTCTCTCGAAACGTCTTATTTTTCTCCGTCTGATGAGTTTTGTCATTGGTTTTAAAAAAAAAATGTTAGAATAATTTTAATTGCAACACGATTGGTCCACAAAACGCATCGTTAGAGGTGGTGATGGCTTGGGGAACCATTCATGCAGCAGTGGATTGGCCATGGCTGAAGATGGAATATGATGATGATGAACCCAGTGAACTTAAGAGCCGTCCAGTGCGCACTGTAGCTGCCTCGTTGGGAACTTCCACGGATTTCTCTCGAATGGGAGTGTGCGCCTCCACGCAGCTCTCATCCCAATCTCTGGCCTCGCACTCAGCTCCTGGATCCTGAGACCCAAGCAAGGTAGGCGACGGAGATCTGGTGGGAGACATCTGAACAGCTCTTGCCCTAACTACTTAACTAACTAACCAATAATCACCAACAGCAGCCATGGTCAATCCACTGCTGGATGAAGGCAAATCCCCAGGCCCCCGTCACCTCTAACGATCTTAACATTAACGATCCCGTAACTATCCCATGCCCGCACCCATTCTTCTCGCTTAACTTAGGTGCAATGCACAATAGGATACTGTTAAACGGGCGGGAGCGGTGGCGCAATGGTTAGCGCACTGCGCTTACCAATCCGTCGCTGATCTGAATAGGCGCTCGCTGTCATCGCCCACCACACAAGTCGCTCTGGTTGTACGATGAGTCTTGGTATTTGCGCGAATGCAACAAAGAGTAACATGTGCACGGTTACCGTGATGCATGTCGCATGTGCTTACACATGCGGAGTTAATCGGTGGCGCCGGTGGCTTGCGCGCTGCGGTCACGATCCCGGCGGCGGTCAGCATCGGTGGCGAGTGATATCTGAACCACGTGGTGAAGTATGGTCAAGCAACTCGACAAACCAACACGGCATGAGGCGAGGGGCGGGGGCTTCATCCAGCAGTGGATTGAGAAAGGACTGTGGCTGATGACTCTCGTGGACGCGCGCGTGGCGTCAGCGTCACGCTCCGCAGGAGGCGAATGATCCGCTCATCCTGGGGACACTCGTACCGTCATCCTGGGGGCCTTAGAGAGTGAATTAAACAAAGTGGGGGGGGGGAGCTTTTCGTATTGTTCTAGCTACGAGCATAGAATGGAGGATCTTTGTTACTACCATACGTGCGCCCTCTCGCCCTTCCACAATGTCTCGGGAGGCGTCGCATCAGTCACCAACTGCTCGCCAGACTCGAGAGCCCGGACGGGCGCATCGCGATCATTTGAAGTCCGTCGCCGTCTTACGATTCGTGTCGGAATGAGAGCTCACGAGAATGCCGTGAGTTCTCCTCCCTCTCGCAAGCCGGAACATCGCAGCCAAAACACATGGCGATGCCAACGAGGACTCCCTCCCAGCCGGGTGTTAACCAGGGCGGGAGTTTACCAGGCCGGGTGCTAACCAGGGCGGGAGTTTACCAGGCCGGGTGTTAACCAGGGCGGGTGTTTACCAGGCCGGGTGCTAACCAGGGCGGGTGCTAACCAGGCCGGTTGTTAACCAGACCGGGTGTTAACCAGGGCGGGTGTTAACCAGGCCGGGTGTTAACCAGGGCGGGTGTTAACCAGGCCGGGTGGTAACCAGGCCGGGTGTTAACCAGGCCGGGTGCTAACCAGGCCGGGTGTTAACCAGGCCGGGTGCTAACCAGGCCGGGTGTTAACCAGGGCGAGCTTTAACCAGGCCGGGTGTTAACCAGGCCGGGTGCTAACCAGGCCGGATGTTTACCAGGGCGGGTGCTAACCAGGCCGGGTGTTAACCAGGCCGGGTGCTAACCAGGCCGGGTGTTAACCAGGGCGAGCTTTAACCAGGCCGGGTGTTAACCAGGCCGGGTGCTAACCAGGCCGGGAGTTTACCAGGGCGGGTGCTAACCAGGCCGAATGCTAACCAGGCCGGGTGTTAACCAGGGCGAGTTTTAACCAGGCCGGGTGTTTACCAGGGCGGGTGCTAACCAGGCTGGGTGCTAACCAGGCCGGGTGTTAACCAGGGCGGGTGTTAACCAGGGCGGGTGCTAACCAGGGCGGGTGTTAACCAGGGCGGGTGTTAACCAGGCCGGGTGCTAACCAGGGCGGGTGCTAACCAGGCCGGGTGTTAACCAGGCCGGGTGCTAACCAGGCCGGGTGTTAACCAGGCCGGGTGTTAACCAGGCCGGGTGTTAACCAGGGCGAGTGTAAATCAGGGCGGGTGCTAAACAGGCCGGGTGTTAACCAGGCCGGGTGTTAACCAGGCCGGGTGTTAACCAGGGCGGGTGCTAACCAGGCCGGGTGCTAACCAGGGCGGGTGCTAACCAGGCCGGGTGTTAACCAGGGTGAGTGTTAACTAGGCCAAGTGCTAACCAGGCCGGGTGCCTTCGGGGAGAGAGATCTGGCGAGGAGGAGTTTCTTTGGCGAGTGGCGCTGACAGTAAACGCGGTTGCATTCCAGCCCTCCTCCCCAAGTCATACTAATATTAATAATATTAGTAGTAATAATTTAGATTTGTAAGGCGCATTTCATTCGTAGATCCCAAAGCGCACCGCAAATGGAATGCAGGAAACAGAGCCTTGCAGGGTAAACGACCAGAACTTGAGGCTAAAGGCCAGTTTATATCGGGTCGTAGGATGACAACAATTTGTTTTAACTATACTTCACCACTCTGGTCAGTACCGCCGGTAGCTACAAAGTAGATTGAATTATTTAACAATTATTGTGTTTGCGAGCGCCACTCCCACCGTCCATCCAGCCCTCCCTCCTCCTCCCCCCGTGGCTCTTGTCGAATCGCAGCAGCTGCGTGCGCAATGCGTGAGGAATGCACCAGAGATCGGGGATGAAGAGAGGGGGGCGCATGAAGGGATCTGATGTCGTCTCGCACCCCCCCCACCACCCACCCATATCCTCCTCATCTGCCACCACAACTCAAAACAAGAACCCCCCCCCCCCCATCATGTTGGGGTGGAGCGGTGGCGCAGTGGTGAGCGCACTGCGCTCCGAACCCCTTAGCGACCCCGCGCCGATTTCGATTCCCACTCACGTGGCGTGCCGCGCGTGTTCCTGCGTCTTTACCGTGCGTGCACCTCGCCTGGCACAACGGCCGTGGTGATTGCATCGCCGCTTAGTGGCCAACGGCGATTGTCGTTGTTATGCCCGTGTATGCGTTACTGTGTTGTGTGTACGCACGTGTATATTACTGTGTGTGCATGTGTTATTGTGTATATCTCTGTGTGTTGCTATGTCTTATTGTGTGTGTGTCTGTGTGTTACAGTGTATATCTCTGTGTGTTGCTATGTCTTATTGTGTGTGTCTGTGTGTTACTGTGTATATCTCTGTGTGTTGCTATGTCTTATTGTGTGTGTGTGTCTGTGTGTTACTGTGTATATCTCTGTGTGTTGCTATGTCTTATTGTGTGTGTGTGTTAATGTGTATACCTCTGTGTGGGGAGCGATAGTGTAGCGGTTAGTGCGCTGCGCTATGAACCTGGCGACCCGGGTTCAATTCCCGCTCACGGCCAACACCAGTGACGATTATCTGAACCGGTTCTGGGCCTTCCCTAGGTCGACTCAGCCTCAAATGAGTACCTGGTGCGATGTGTAAACATCGCCACTGGGGGAGACAAAGGCGGCCGGGCGTGGTGCTGACCACCCACCTCCTCGCGTGCCGTGCCGGCCTTCATAGGTGCAACTCGCTAACAGCACTTGCCCCAACAGTCTTTGAAGGCTACACGGAGGGGGGGGGGGGTCTTTGTAAATGTTTTATGGGGAAGGGGAGGGGTCGCCATTTCCTGCTTCCACCGCTTGGCAGATGGAGCGAGGCGGAATGAGCTGAGGATGGAATGAGATGGAGACGGGATGTGATGGAATGAGCTGAGGATGGATTGAAACGGAATTAGCTGAAAGTGGAATGGGAAGGAATGAGACGGAATGAGCTAAAATATTGAATGAGCTGGCGATGGAATGAGACGGAATGAGCTAAGAGATTGAATGAGCTGGTGATGGAATGAGATGGAATGAGCGATCCAATGAACTGGAAGGGCCTCACTGTACTCGAACAATAGCTCCGTTTGTGTATTGTGTAACAATAGCTCCGTTTGTGTATTCCTGCGCGCGTGAAATATCACGGAATTATTCACACAATCGAGTTCTTGTGTCTCGTCAGCAGCAATCGGCATCATCATAATTAGTGTTACTATTCAGCATTCACTAACATCATCACTCATACTTGTAGATTATTATTAATCGCGTCATTTTCCATCATCATTACGATCTGTCATCCATCCGTCAACATCTCATCGAACACCATCATCAGTTATCAATACGACTCATCTGCCCCATCAGTCAGATCGATAGTAACGATTGGCCTCGGGTTGTATCGCGCATTCTCCAACTCTGGTGAACCGCTGTATGCCTCTGGAATTTATATTTATGTTCTATGAAGAAGGACCATTGCCCGAAACATCGTCTATTACATGGTATTTCTTGATTGACGAATTGGAAGGTTAGGTCAACGTTGGTTGACTTCAGGCAACGTTGGTCCAACGTTGGTTGACGTTGAGCCAGCGTTGGTTGACGTTGGACAAACATCCTCAACCAACGTTGGCCCAACGTTTACATGTTCGTGATATTGTAACATTGGTCTCTATGGATCTCTCATCGTCACCGTCACCATCATCTGTTTTCTATCTTCCCGTTTCCTGCCAATTTTAAACTCGACCGTGTTGCATGAACACGAGCGAGTCAGCGGCAACTGAAACGCGTTGGTTGTGAGTTTTGTTTTAGCTCTCAAAACATCCTCCTCTCTCAAAGACAAAAAAAAACCCACGTTCGATTTATTATCCTGTGACGATGAGTGCCAACGCTTTGCTTGCAAAAGCAATTGTATCGGACGAATGTGTGTGTTTAATATAAGTACGTAAAGGCAAAGGCGCAGCCCTGCAATGTACTGAGCACGCCACTGCTGGCGGAAGATCCTCCACTAGCGGGAGCTCAAAGGAGAGTTGCACTCTAGATGGGTATTTGGCCTACTCTTCCACGCCGGCCTGACATGTTGTAAAACAATAAAAACATATATTTTGCCAGGTAAGGCCCACTGAGCTGTATAGCTCTTTTTCAGAAGCGACCTGGCCACAAGTGATAGCCCAGAGAAGTGGCTTATCACGTGGACATTTATATCAGCCAAATACTCTAAACGCGTGATGTTGATTCTAAATGTGGTGGGAACAACCGGAGGACCCTGAGAAAAATCCACGCGACCACGGGGAGAGAGACACGCACATTCCAAATATACAGCAGCAGGCGTCAGGATCGGGATCGAGCCCACGACCTCCTATATACCAGGAGAGGTAGTTAACATCTCACCACCGCGGTTCCCTAAGAGGCCGGAGTTTCCACACTTTATCCCACCACACTTCTTTACCCCACCACACGCGACCGGGAGGGGGGGTCGACCAACCCACAGCGAACCCCACTGTCAGCTTGTGCAGATGCGGCGCGGGTGTGTGGGGTCGGATTTAAGGAACTCGCTCCGTTGTTGACGCCGCCACGCCGGGAGATCGAAAGGAACGGGAAACTCGAGTATTTGACAATCTTTGTGACCGAGGCGGCGTCCGCTTGCCTTTAAAGAATCGACTCGAGATGATTCGTCCGTCGATTACTCGAGGGTGCGTGGGCCGACTCCGTGAGTCATCATCACCACACACATATCCCTTTTGGCAGCTGTGGAAAGAGGGCCCCGCCCGTGAGGGTGCAGGCTAGAGGGAGATGTTGTAGCCTTATATGGGGTCACTGCTGCGACGCCTCGGAGCTCAGCCCAAACCCAAAGAGAAAGATCCCCCGTATAGGCTGTAGAAGACTGTTGGGGCAAGTTTCGTCAGCGAGTGGCACCTGTGAAGGCCGACACTGCACACGAAGGGGATGGGTGGCCGGAAAACCACGCCCGGCCGCCTTTGTCTCCCCAGTTTACACACTGCTCCCAGGTACTCATTTGAGGCTGAGTCAACCTAGGGGAGGATAGGGGCGATCACCCCCCCCCCCCCCACCTCTTCTTGGACCACAGTAAAAATTATATTTCATGAATATTTACCAACAAAATCACGTTGAATGTTTATTTTCTACGAATGTAGGGCCCAATTTGAATGTTTGAGATGTTTTGGCCTGCCTCTCTCTCCCCCTCGGGAAGTTTCTCTGGGGTTGTTTGACCATACTTCACCGTGCTGATCACTGCGGGTTGCTGAAGGAGGGGCGCTCCCAGGATCGCTTCAGATGTCACTCGTCAGTGGCATTGGCCTTGGCCAGGAATAGAACTCAGGACGCTGGGTTCATGGCGAAGTACGCCAATTGCTTGCACCACTGCTCTCATATAAAAAGACAAACATCCCCCCGTATAGCCTTTACCAGACTGTTGGAGCAAGTGCTGTTAGCGAGTAGCGCCTACAAAGAAAGGGGTGGGTGGCCAGAACCACGCCCGGCCGCCTTTGTCTCCCCAGTAGCGTTGTTTACACACCAGCTACTAATTTGAGGCTGAGTCGACCTAGGGGAGGCCCAGGACCAGTTCAGATAATCGTCACCGGTGGTGGGCCGTGAGCAGGAGTCGAACTCGGGTCGCCAGGAGGAGTGAGCGGGTCCGTGGGGCCGACCATTCTTGCCGTGTCTCACGGTCTAAAAGCTGCGCGCGGAGTGCACCTGATCTGGGCATGTCGAATGGGTCACCACCGTTTAGTTCAATTCAGTTTATTTTGAATTACCCTGTGAGCCAAGAGGCTCTAAAATCGGCTTTCATCAACAACTCGTCAGCCGATATCATTGCTCGATCCCTGCCCACTAATAATGATCATAACCCATTGAATATGTAGCTACACTGGCAATCTAACGGTTCAATAAAGGACATTGAATGCGTGCCCAAAGTTCCCCTAGAGGCGGAGGGAGTAGGTGGGTCTCTGGCAATCATCAACCCCTTCTCTTGGACCTGAGTTTTCTCGCAGACGTCGAGTCGGGCACGGACGCGTGGCCGCACAGATGCTCGACGCTTTTATCCCCCCCCCCCCCGCACAGAGCCATGGTGTACCACCCGGAGTTCGAGGCGGCGGGCCGCCAGCCCGGCCTGCAGGTGTGGCGCGTGGAGAAGCTGGACCTGGTGGCCGTGCCCAAGGAGCTCTACGGCAGCTTCTACACGGGCGACGCCTACGTGCTGCTCTTCTCCGTGCGCAACCGCGCCGGCAACATGCAGTACGACCTGCACTTCTGGCTCGGTGAGTGCATCGGCGTCATCGGCGGCAGCACCATTGTCGTCAACATCAGTAGCATCATGGCCATCAGACGTCTGAATATCATCATTACCGCCATCACCATCGCTATCATAATCACCACAGCTATCATTATCGTAATCGCCGCCATCATCGTCAGATAGTTTAGTTTTTGAATTAACGACGCACACCTCGTCCAGACGACGCTACTAGCTGCGTTTAAGGTGACGCAAAAGCACGTGGCAGGTGGAGCCACCGCGGGAAGGAGGCCACCGTCTCCCATCCAAGCCACGGTGGGGAGACTGTGGCCTTGCAGCCCACACCGTGGACCACCCAGTGAACCCATACAGACACATAGATACTCCTTAGAGACTCGTAGAGATACAGAGATTCAGATAAACTCAGAGATACACAGAGGCCCATGGAGATGCATTAAAGACAAGCCACAGTAGTGCAACTGTGGCCATACAAACAAACTACAGACCGCACAATAAATCCACTGTGGTCTGCGCTCCTTCAACAGAGGAGTAGGAACAGCAAAACCACACGAACGAACTCTCTCCCTGAGCCCTCTCGTCGTGGCCTGCAGACCTCGACATTGGCATCGGGCCCCTGAACACATGACTGCTGTCATCGTGCGCAAGCGTAGAATAGAGTAATGCAGTGTTCTTCACTAATTTTCATAAGGGGGGCCACTTTCACCAATAAGACATCATCAGTGTGAGGGCCGCCACGCGTATTTGAAACCATTGGGTTTGACAGCAGCACGATGGCGGGGGGAGTTGTCACGCGTTGTGTAGTGTCCGGGGCCGCACGGCAGAGGCCACGCTAAAGGCCACCAGGGGCCGCCAGTGGCCTGCGGGCCTTGCAACAAAGAACGCCGGCTTCATTAGACATCGCACATTACCATTCAAACATATAATCGGCTTCATCTAACAGACCTCCCACCATCGCACACCATAGCTCTCCTCACCCATCTCCTCCCCACCCCACCGCACAACCGGGTCTCACGACACCGCTGGCCACTCTGCCCAGCCGGGCGCCAAACTCCGCGTGCGCGTGCCGACGCCTCGTCCGTCCTTCTCCGCCCCGACAGGCAACGAGTGCTCACAGGACGAGAGCGGAGCGGCCGCCATCTTCACGGTGCAGATGGACGACCACCTTGGGGGGCAGCCCGTGCAGCACCGTGAGGTTCAGGGCTTCGAGTCCACTGCCTTCAGCGGATACTTCAAGAACGGCATCAAGTACAAGGTGCCGCCGAATAGAAACTGTGCAGACGACTGTTTGTTTTATTTTGTATTCATCATGTGGCCTTTTTTAATTGAAGGCTGTCTTTGGTGTAGGCCAATCAGTTTCGAAGACAATGGAAATATTGTCCGAGGATGTTTTGTTTGCACGTTCACCACAAGTGCTCTGTGTGTGGTTAACGCAAGACTTGATTTCTTGCAAATTGGTTTCTATTTGGTGTTTGAACATCTTCACACCGCCTGTTTTATTGCCAGAAAGGGTAAAACTATTTTTGTTATCGTAATTCCCGGAGAAATGTCACGGTACTCGAATTACAAATGTTGTTGTGGGATTACTCTCCAGCACACAACCGGTGTGTATACCGAACTAGTAACACATTGGCACGTTTTGTTTACGTGACAAACCTTACCAATTGGCCGCGTTGGGTAGTGGTGGGCTAACAATACATTGATATTTACGCGATCTAACCCCCAAAAAACTATATTATGGGGAATATTGGTCGCGAAAGCCTATACTACGTGTTAAACTATATTTTTATTCTAACAGATAAGGCCCACTGAGCTTTCTAGCTCAGTGGGCCTTATCTTTTCAGAAGCGACCTGGCCACAAATCGATAGCTCAACGAAGTGGCTTATCATCATGTGGGAATGTATAGCAGCCAAATACTCTAAACGCATGTTTCTTCTAAATGTGGAGTGAAAACCCAGCATGGCACACGAGGACCCGGAGAAAAATACATGCGACCACGGGGAGAGAGACACGCAAACTCCAAATATACAAGCGTCAGGGTCGGGATCTAACCCAAGACCTCCTGTATACCAGGCGAGGTAGTTAACATCCCGCCACCGTGGCGAATATATGTTCCTGGGTCGTTTGGTGGACCTCAGAGGTTCACGTGACCTGTCACCACCACCACAGCCATAGGCAGCTGCAGAGACCCAGCCCTGGGTGCCCAGTAACAACATCTGCCCTGACCGGCTACGTAAGACGCGCGGGGTGGGAAGGGATCTTTACCCTTTGCTGTTTTGATCTTTGCCTGTGGCTATCGTGGGCACGTGCAGCCGGGCGGCGTGGCTTCGGGCTTCCGCCACGTGGTGCCCAACCTGGTGGACGTGAAGCGGCTGCTGCACGTGAAGGGGCGACGCACGGTGCGCGCCACCGAGGTGCCGCTCTCCTGGGCGAGCTTCAACCAGGGGGACTGCTTCATCGTCGATCTGGGGGCGGTGAGGATGGACACGCACAAAGACAACGATCCCTCATATAACCTTAACAGACTGTTGGGGCAAGTGCCATTATCGAGCACTTATGAAGTCCGGCACGGCACAGGACGGGGGGGGGATCACCAGCACCACGCCCGGCTGCCTTTGTCTCCCCAATGGCGATGTTTACACACCACGCCAGGTACTCATTTGAGGCCGAGTCGACCTAGGGGAGGCCCAGGACCTGTTCAGATAATCGTCACTGATGTTGGCCGCGAGCGGGAATCGAACCCAGCATAGCGCTGGCCACTACGCCACCGCTCCCCACAAAGCGCAGCACCTACATGCGACCATCAGGCTGGCACGTGACCCACAGAGGGTTCAACCGGGGCATCTGCTTCAAAGTTGACCTGTGAGCGGTGAGGACGAGCGGATACACATACAAATGCATAAGGTGTCTCAAAGAGTGAATGTTAATTTTTGTAACTCTGTAAAACACGTAGGTGCAGGTTTAGGGAAAATAGTACTGTACAGTGACTGGGAGAGTGTCCCCGATCGTGTCGCTAGATGTTAGCGTGTCATGTGACTGAAGGTGGCGTTCCACGACCGCACATTAGAAGATTAATGAAATTAGCTTTTTATCCTTTGAGCGTGGAAAAGTTCAATAAGTAAATAAAAAATGCTCAAGTCATTGTTTCCCAATTTTATCTCGATTGTGCAACCAGTGTCATGCCACCGAGATGAAGCTTACGTTTGAAACTATTGCGCTGATGCAGAAAGCGACCCGCGGAAGTGGCTATCACAGAGCCACCTCTTAGAGCCCATCACGTGACCGTGGGAGATAGCAACAGCGTGGGGAGGTTTTCATCCACCGGTGGATAAACCGCGGCTGCCTGCGATGACGAACATTGGAAGTGCGTGCAAGAGACGGACGGGCGAGTGGGGTTGGATGACGTGACGATGGGAGGCCCCGGGGGGGGGTACTATCGGCTCGAGCAGACCGCCAACCCTTACCCACGGCGCGCACCTGGGCACGTTCACTCTTCCCCTAGATACGCGAGCGCCCGCGTGCCGTTTGCCCTGCTTCCCCGGCTTGAGGGCAAACGGCATCGCCAGGACGAGGAGCGGAGGCCACGGCGCGGTTGGCTTGCTCCAACTCCCGCAGATGGCCAAACCAGAAGGCCGGGCTTTGAACTTCCCCCGAAAGCGAAACCTTTACGTGGTCCCGCCGCTCAGACGATCCCCGAATTGTGGCGCTGGCACGACGCCGGCCGCGGTGCGGCGTCCGATCGGATCTCTCGCGGCGAGCAGAGCAACGCGTTGCCTGCCGCAGGACGGTTCTCGTGGGGACGGAAGTTGGGTATCGCATAGCTACCTCAGAGATCCGCCTTCCAAGTCCGGGGGAAGAGCACTTCCTCACCTGGCCTGCCACGGAGAGGAAACGTTCAGCGCATCGCGGTCGAAACCGTATTAAATGTTCACATTTGTGTTCAATGTTCAAATCGTGCTAAACGCTCACGGTTAAATGTTCATATTTAACACGATTGTCTTTTTTTGCGACCTCGGCATTTCCACGCCGGTTTTGCTGACCACGACACCAACGGCAGCCTCTCTCACCTTCACCGTCGGGAATGTTTTTAATTGCGTGCAGTCATTTGGCGACCCGGGGTTGAGACCATCGACTCGCTGCACTCGAGAACCCGCTTTTTAAATCACAGGCAGCGGCTGAAACCGGGATTGGAACCCAGGATCCGGCTCGGCACGGCGACCTCCGCGCCAGCGTGGCCGACCACGGACGCGTGCGTGGCGATCGTGACGGTGCGACTCCTTCACCTCCGTTCTGCCCCCTCCTCGCTCTACCCCCGTAGAACATCTACCAGTGGTGCGGCTCGAAGAGCAATCGCTTCGAGCGGCTGAAGGCCACCCAAGTGGCCAAGGGGATCCGAGACAACGAGCGGAGCGGGCGAGCGAGAGTCGACGTCCTGGAGGAGGGGATGCAGCCCGACGGCCTGGTGGAGGCGAGGAGAACGCACGCGCACGCACTCACGCGCACGCACTCACGCGCACACGAGCAAGCACACGCGCTCACGAGCAAGCGCACGCACTCACGCGCACACGAGCAAGCACACGCGCACACGCCCGCCCATTGCTCATCCTCTCGTCATCTGTTCACTGTCACGTGTCACGAGAGTCAACGTTAACGAATGTCGCCAATAGATCGTCACACACCACCTGTCAGCCGCTACTGTCACTCGTCCATCACCCGTCACTCACCGTCCATTAAGCATCACTCACCCATTACACGTCTTTCACAACTCAGCATCTGTCACTCACCATCCATCACCTGTCACCCATCACTCATCATCCATCACCTGTCACCCATTACTCATCATCCATCACGTGTCACACATCACTCATCATCAATCACCTGTCACCCATCACTCATCACCTGCTGTTGTTGTCACTGCCGTTGTTGTTGTTGTTGTTCTCGTGACGTTCAGGCTTTGGGATCCATGCCGAGTTTGCCGGAGGGAGAGGCCGATGACGTCAAGGCCGATGCCTCCAACAGGAAAATCGCCAAACTCTACAAGGTGAGAAGCCACGCGATTGTCTGTCCGTCCGTAACATGGGATAACAATTATCCAATCTAAATAACATTTTAATATAGTTTTAGTTGTTAGCAGGGACTGGTCACATTGGTAAGAGCGTGTCCTAAACATGGCGATAAAAAAACAGCGGTACACGGATAAGCCTTTTTGACTGAGGTGATGACATCACACGCTGAGGTGATGACATCACCCGGAGAGGTAATGACATCACACGCCGAGGTGATGACATCACACGCCGAGGTGATGACATCACACGCCATGCTTGCGGCCCCGCGTTCCCGGGACATCACCGTGCGCGCCGTCACGCACGTCGTTGCTTTTGCGAACCAAAAACTTCTTGAGGCTAAGCACACGTTGGCACGCTTTATGGAATCCACGCGCGTGCACGCATGTGGATTCCATTTCTCTTTCCTTGGGTTTGACCTTCCACGAAGCTCACGGTTCACCCTAAACAGCATCCACCGCACAATCCGTGGCAGTGGATGCGGATACCTGATGCACAAATGGAAAATTGAAAACTCTCCAGTCGTGTGCGACTGCGGTCATCCAGCACAGACCGTCGTGCAACGTGTAACGACGCCATGCCCCCATCCTCAAATACGAAGAAAGAGATATCACAGCGACGATACGCTCCGCTACTGCTCCTGACGCGGTTGTCCGGCTTGACCGCCTGAATGTGACATTGTAGCTGTTGCTCTGCGTCTACACCGGCAGCCGTGCGAAAGAAGAAGATCGCCTGCGTGATGCGCGGGTCACTCTGTGTTTGACCGGCATCCCGACACGCTAGATGAACATCGTCCATACGAAATGTTATATTTTTATTTTCATTCGCATCTTAGTCAAAGTACAATTTCCCCTCGCCTTACTCGTCCTCGCCGTCCGTCCCGACCGCGTTCCGTCTCCTCCTCGGTGGGGTCCCCTCCCCCCCAGGTGTCAAACGCCTCCGGCACCATGGAGGTGATAATGGTGGCGGCTGACAACCCGTTCCGCCAGGACATGTTGCTGTCGGGAGACTGCTTCCTGCTTGACCACGGGCCCGCGGGGAAGATCTTCGTGTGGAAGGGTCAGCGTTGGGTTTAATAGCCTCGGGGAGAAAGTTATGAATCTATTACTTGCTGGGATATATTGATTAGAAACGTGGACATGTCTTTCCTGTTCAATTGCAAGCTCCAACAGATTCCCCTTCTCTGCTTAAGACCGCCTTCCTCGTTCTATTTATAAAATAAATATTCCGCAATGCTTCTGTGCGGCGTCTTGTTAGGTGTAATAATTTTTGCATGAACATTGTACCAATGAACTTCGGCTTTAGGGTTTGTGGCGTGTTGTTGCTGCTGCTGATGATGCTGCGCTAGTGATGATACTATTGATGCTGCTGTTGATGATTATGATGCTGGTGCTATTGATGATAATATGAATGTTTCTGATGATGATAATAATAATGTTGCTGCTGATGATGCTGTTGCTGCTGCTATTGATGATAATATTGATGCAGTTGCTGCTGATTAAGATCCTACTGATGCAGCAGCTGCTGCTGCTGCTGTTGATGATAATATTGCTGCTGATGATGACGTTGACGACGACGACGATTATGACGTTGCTACCTTAGGTCGTGGCGCCGATATCGCGGAGAGGAAGGCCGCATTGAAACTGGCCGAGGACTTCATCGTCCGCATGGGCTACCCGAAGAACACCCAGGTGAGCACACCTGCACCGGCCCAGGTCAGGTGACCCCGCACAACCCCCAGAGCAACTCCTCATCTAGCCGTGGTCGATCGACTGCTGGACGAAGGCCTCCACAGGCCGCAGCCGCCGCCTCTCGCGGCGATTCTGCGGTGTGCCTGGCACCCCGCGCACGAGCCGGTTCCGTCGATTCCATCTCCGCGGGATACGTCCTCTACCGGAAACGCGTTGCGCTCCTTGGCTGCCCACGCCGTTGTTAGGATTTGCCACAGAGCCACCGTCCCGGCCAGCCATGGCACGTGCTACCCAAGCCCACTCTTGAACAGTCTATGTTTTGTTTGACCTGTGTACGTTCTCGTAATGCGCGTGTTCCTCTTGCTGACCCTCAATGTAGAATTCACCTGTCTCTCTCTCTCCGTGCTCCTTTGCGCACTTTTCAGTTAGATTTTTTTTTTTATGCCGCAATTACCAAAAATAATAAATCCACGTTCACCGCTGGGCACCGGCCGCCTCTGAAACCACGGCCACTCCTCCTCCTCGTCCTCCTCCTCCTCGTGCTGCACCTCCCTCTAACCGCGCTCCGCCACCCCGCGCCAGGTGTCGGTGCTGCCCGAGGGAGGGGAGACGCCGCTCTTCAAGCAGTTCTTCAAGGGCTGGCGCGACCACGAGCAGACCGACGGCCTGGGGCCCCGCTACACCGTGGGCAGCGTCGCCCGCATCCAGCAGATCCCCTTCGACGCCTCCACCCTGCACTCCAACCCGGCCATGGCCGCCCAGCATGGCATGGTGGACGACGGCAAGGGAGACGTACAGGTGAGGGCGGGGGGTGGCAGGGGCAGAGGGGTGGGGGATGGGTGTAGAGGGGCGTGATGGGACATGACAGAGGTCGCTGTTGACCTCGCTCACGCGATCGCCACCAAACGCTGCCTCGCCCATTTCATCACCAAGGCACCCACTCGTTCGTCCGCCAAGGAGCCCCCTCACTCGCCCACCCACCCACCCGACACAACAAGACCCCACTCACGGGGAGGGTGTGATGGGAGGGCTTCATTTGACTAGTGGGTGCGGCGACCCGAGTAATGGGCGGAGCTACCAGAGCAGAGGGTGGGGTTACCAGAGCAGGGGGCGGCCCTGTGAGCAGGAGGAGCTGCCAAGTGGAGGTCGAGCGAGGAGGAGGAGGCGGCTCACAGTGCGGACTGTGGTAGCGACTGAGTGGGAGTGGCCGTGTGAAAGTGGGCGGGGTTGGCTGACGTGCCGCGCTTCGCGCCGCAGGTGTGGCGCATCGAGGGCTCGGACAAGGCTCCCGTGGACCCGAGCACCTACGGGGAGTTCTACGGCGGAGACTGCTACATCATCCTCTACACCTACAAGACGGGACAGATCATCTACACCTGGTGGGGACCGCAACCTCCGTACCCACTCCTGCCCGAGCGTTCTAATCGTCCCGTGTGTTTTCGGATTGTACGGTGTGTGACCAGCCCACTCTCGCCAGGGTGGTGAAATGCGGTCAGACTACTCCTACTACCTGCACAGCGTGGGGGGAAGGCCTCCATCCAGCAGCGGAGTGATGAAGGGCTTTGAATTGCTATTGCAGGCAGGGTCATACCTCGACACGTGACGAGGTGGCAGCCTCAGCCTTTCTGTCGGCCGAGTTGGACATCTCCCTGGGTGGAACCCCTGTGCAGGTGAGCTACTCCAGCTCCTCGTTCACCGCCTTGTCCACCGCAAGCTGCCAACCTCCTCACACTTCCGCCTCATCCTGCATATCTTGGCCACCTCTTCATCCACCTCCTCATCCACCGCACCGAGTTACCCTCACCACCCACCTGGTCTGCTTTTTCCCATCACAGGTTATGATGATGTGATGAAGAAATTAACAAGCTAATTATTTTTGAGATTCGTTCGCGTAATGAGATGAAGTCACACTAATTCATTAATTTTATACGTAAATGCATTTAAGGCCGAGTGCCCTGGACTCAGGGCCTGCATGACCTTGCCCGGGTACCCATGCCTTCCTGGGCAAGCGAATCTAGGCAATACCGGGGTAGGCTCAGATCATCGCCCATGTAATTTAAGATAATGATTCTTTTCACTGAAATTCGTCCAACCCCTGGACCAAATGTTGGATCACCTCTGCGAGAGTTACCATGCCCCCAAGTTACAGACAGAAAGCTAATGCTGTATCGCTTCAACTTTAGTTGGAACGCGTTAAGAAGAGACCTTAGTTGGCGAGCCGTAGGTGTTTGTTCAAGTGTCGGAAGGAAACTGGAACCCTCTCCTGGGGAATGAACATACTTCCTCTTCTCTTCGTGCACTTATTTCATTTCAAAGCTCAAAGGAGCGTGGGACGGCCCTCAAATCCACCGACAGCCCTGAACCAGCAGAGGAAACTCCACATTCCCATGGCAATTACAAAAACAATGGCAACAACAGCGAGGACGCTTCGCCGACGAGAGCAGATTGAGTCCCAGTCGTTCCCGTCTGCTCCCGAACGCGGAAGCCAGTCGATCGGTACGTTGCGGGCGGTAGGGCTTCAAACTATGCGAGTTGAGAATCAAGGTTGCAGTTGTTTGTGGCGGTGATGCAGCGGCCTCCGGTAGCGGGAGGGAGGGCGATGCGAAGACTTACAAAAGGAGAGCGTGGCGTGTGACCGTTACGGCCATCGTCTTCTGATCGCGATTTCTTTTCTTTATCCATCGATTGCTATTCCAGCTGTGCCACTCTGGAGAGGTTTCCGCTTGCAGTGAGCAGTGCACCGAGTCTCGGGGCACGCTGTTTGTTGCCGGTCGCTGGGCGTTCTTGGCCCATTACTCGGCCACCGCGATTGCAGAACAAAAAAACTTCGGAGGGACAGGGGCCCTAAAATGAGCCCCCAGGGACAGCCCGGGCGGCAAGGGACAGCCGGGGTACCAGCGTCAGTCCAACCGGCCTACGGCGCGCCATCGGCGCGGTGTGTTCGCGATGCACCGGACTCGTCAGAGTGCGCCGATAGCGGACGTTCAGACTGATTACTCGCCGAGTTCCAGTTCCAGTTGCCGAGGATGCCCTGGGACCTCTGCCTCGATCGCGTCGCTCTGCGCTCACCGCACGCCACCGCCCCCCGCCCCACCCCCAATCCCAGGTGCGCGTCGTGCAGGGCAAGGAGCCGGCGCACCTCATGAGCATCTTCGGCGACAAGCCGCTGGTGGTGTACCGGGGCGGCACGTCGCGCGACGGCGGCCAGAGCCAGCCGGCCGACGTGCGCCTCTTCCAAGTGCGGCGCAACGCCGCCCGCCGGACGCGCGCCATCGAGGTGAGTGGGTGGGGCTACCAGAGCAGTGGGCGGAGCTACCCGAGACGTTGTCCGCCAGGCGCCGATGAAGTGCGGTTTGAGAACCGGTTCAGATTTTAATCAACACTGCTGTTAGCCGTGGCCGGGAATCACACTCTGATGAATGAGCTCCATCTTCCATGGTGGCGAGATGTTGACGACCTCGCCTGGTATGCAGGAGGTTTCTCAATTAACTAATTGTAAAAAAAAAGTACACGCCCACCCGCTCGCTCGCTCACGCGTGTGTATGCACGCGTGCCCGCCAGATGGAGGCCAGCGCGTCGCGCCTCAACTCGAACGACGCGTTCGTGCTCGTGGGCCCCGGCGCGGCCTACACGTGGGTGGGCCGCGGGGCGGTGGAGGCCGAGCGCCAGGGGGCGGCGAGCGTCGCCGCGTTGCTCGGGGTGCAGCCCACCGAGGTGAACGAGGACGCAGAGCCAGGTGACGATCGCTCTCTCTCCACGCACGGCCGACCCCCGGGGACTCTTCTCTCCCGCCGCTGCCCCCCACCCCCCCCCCCCGACCGGCGATCTCTCTTCGCCAGTGCAGACACCGTCAATGGCATTCGTCGTGATCTCTCGCTTAGCGGAGCGGGCCGCGTGACGGCTGCCATCTTCCACTCCACCCTAAACCGCATCCACTGCACGCACCATGGCAGATGCGGATGCCGGTCGCACAAATGTGAACTAAAAAAACTCTCCGGTAGTTTGCAACTGGGGTCATCCGGAACAGAGAGCGTACCACACATAACGACGCAATTCCCCTATCCACAAATACGAGGGAGACATCACGGCGATGATACACTCCGCTAACGCTCTTCCGACTTGACCGCCTGCATGTGACCTTGTAGCTGTTGCTCTGCATCTACACCGGCAGCTGTACGAAAGAAGAAGAAGATCGCCTGCGTGATTGCGCGGGTCACTCTGTGTTTGGCCGGCATCCCGAGACACGGTGGTGATTAGACGCTCGATGAGCGTGCGCAGTGGATCGTGTGAGCATTCCGCGTTGCACCCAGGCGCGGTTCGTCCACTAGGGGCGTTTGGTCCGAGTGAGAGATTTCCCTTCATTCGTTGCGATCAGCTTCGTATTTTAGCCACGCCGTTTGAGACCCATTCAGGCGCCCATGGCTGTAATGAGATGACGTCACATCGCGAGGTTGCACTCTGCAAATATTGCAGGTCACGGCGTACACGCACTAGGCTTTTGGCAGTGTCAAAGGAGTTGTGTAGTGTAGACTTGAGGGTCATGGGGACAGCGTTTGGAGCGCTTTGTTTTTGTTCCGTATTGTTTATAAATGCCTCACCGTTGGTAGATAAGCCAGTTATATCACTTTCATGGGAAGGCCAATAACGTGACGAGGTTTTTCTTAATTAGAACTCCGCATTGTCAGAGGTCACACACAACAGCCCCACCTAGTGGCAATGTCACTGGTTGCACCGCGTGTGTGCGTTTGCCGTGTGTGCTCCGTGCGTGTGTGCTCCGTGCGTGTGTGCTCCGTACGTGTGTGCTCCGTGCGTGTGTGCTCCGTGCGTGTGTGCTCCGTGCGTGTGTGCTCCGTGCGTGTGTGCGTGTGTGCTCCGTGCGTGTGTGCGTGTGTGCTCCGTGCGTGTGTGCGTGTGTGCGTGTGTGCTCCGTGCGTGTGTGCGTGTGTGCGTGTGTGCTCCGTGCGTGTGTGCTCCGTGCGTGTGTGCTCCGTGCGTGTGTGCTCCGTGCGTGTGTGCTCCGTGCGTGTGTGCGTGTGTGAGAGTAGATGAATTCTGGTCGCTGCTGGGAGGCAAGGTTTCGTACCAAACCTCATCGCGACTCCGCAATAAGACGGAGACCCACCCCCCACGCCTCTTCGCCTGCTCCAACAAGTCCGGCAGATTCACGGTGAACATCATCATCATCAGCAGCAGCGTCATTATCTCCATCATCAGCACTACCACTCCTCAAAGACAAAAGTCCCCCGTGTAACCTTAACAGACTGTTGAGGCAAGTGCTATTACACCTATGAAGACCGACAAGGCACACAAAGGGGTGGGTGGCCAGCATCACGCCTGGCCGCCTTTGCCTCCCCAGCGATGATGTTTACACACCGCACCAGCTACTCATTTGAGGCTGAGTCGACCTAGGGAGAGGCCCAGGACCGGTTAAAATAATTGTCACCGGTGTTGGCCGTGAGCAGGAATCGAACACGGGTAACCGGATTCATAGTGCGGCGTGCTAACCGCTGCACCACCGCTCCTCCCACACACACACGCGTACACACACACGTACACACACACTCACACAAACGTACACACACACTCACACACACACATACACACACTCACACACACACGTACACACACAATCACACACACACGTACACACTCAGACACACAAGTGCACACACACTCACACAAACGTACACACACACAATCACACACAACAACAACAACAACCGCCATTCGCCACTAAGTGGCGGTGACGTCACCACGACGCTTGTGCCAGGCTATGTGCACCCTGAGGCCACGTGAAGTGTCGAACGCCCGCTGGCAGGAGGTCACGGGGCAGACCCAGGTGCCACGGGTCGACTGACTGAGATGACTGGCTGATGCACCACCTGTGCCCCCTACTGTGCCAACCTGCTGTGCTTTAGCCACCCGGCGCTCCGCTCGCTGTTGTGAGCGTCGCTCCTCCGCCCTCCGTTGTTGTTGGAGGGCGACTGCCTCCAACTGCCCAGTAGCATCCTTCACGAGCCTCCTCCACAGAGGCCGATCTTGACACCGCTGGTACCAGTCATCGGCAAGTCCACTCAGCTCCACGTCCTCCTGTACCACATCACTCCATCTCTTCTCTAGCCCGTGCCGCGCCCGCTTAGCCCCCTCAATCCGGCCAAACAAAAGCTGTTTCGGCATGCGGTGGCTGGGCATGCGGGCTACATGACCCAGCCATCGCAGCCTTGCCTGCCGGAGGAGCTCACCGATGGGACCCTGCCCAGATCTTTCAAGGATTTGTGAGCTCCTCACACAATCCAGTCTGGTTAAACCCACGATGGATCGTAGGCAGGCCAGCCTAAATGTTTCTAACCGGCGAAGATGTTCCATTAGGGGGGTCCACGTTTCGCAAGCATAGAGAAGGGAGGGAATGACCGTGGCCGAGAAGACCTGAAGCTTAGTGCGGAGCGACAGACCAGGTAGCTTCCACACAGCGTTACGCAACCGATGAAAAGATATTGCCGCTCGACTGATTCGGAGTGAGACCTCTGCTGTTAAACTGGAGCCAGTCATAAGCACACTGCCCAGGTATGGGAAACTCTCCACTCTCTCCACAACTGCCCCATCACCGATTGGGAGTTGTGGGGGTGGAGTGTCCGATGGTACAAAATACCCAGGCAGGTGCTTAGTTTTGGTGGGGCTGATGGTAAGGCCCCACCTCTTAGTGGCATGCTCCAGTCTCAGCAGCAGCGTCTCCAACTCCTCCTCTGACTGAGCAGCTATTACCAAGTCATCAGCATACATAACGTGGTTGAGCAATAGGGAGCCATCCCTTGACCGCACCCGGGCATCGATTAGCCTCCCATTATATCTGTACCATATGGAGATTCCCCCGGTACAGCTATTGAAGGCTTCACGAACTACGTGGTCAAAATAGATGTTAAATAATGTGGGAGCCAAAGGACATCCCTGTCGCACCCCAAGGTGTACAGGGAATGGCTCTGACTCCCGGCCACGTAGTTTTACCCGGGCCCGCTCACCATCATGAAGGTCCTTAATGATCGTGAGCAGAGGGTCAGGTACTCCAAAAGCACGAAGAACGACCCAGAGCCCAGGCCTACTGATGGTATCATAGGCCTTGACCAGGTCAATAAAGCAGAGATGTAGGTCTTGTTGGAATTCCCTACACCTCTGCTGTAGCAGACGGACAGAAAATATGGCATCTGTGCAGGACCGCCCTTTCCTGAAACCGCATTGGGGCTCCGCAAGCCTCTCCTCAGCGTGCCTGGCAAGGCGATGCTGAATAATCCTTGGCAGGACCTTTCCCGGCACACTGAGGAGTGAGATGCCCCTGTAGTTGTTACAGTCTGTGCGGTCCCCCTTCTTAAAAAGGGGGACCACCAGGGCATCCTTCCAATCCTGCGGAACCCGTCCAGTGGTCCAGACTGTTGTTATGATGTCATATAGGGCAGTCTGTGCACAAACGCCACCCTCCCTCAGCATTTCGCTTGGGAGATCATCTCTGCCCGCTGCCTTTCCTGGTCTCAGACTCCGGATCGCCTTCAATACTTCCTCAGCAGATGGCACCTCAGCCAGCCACTCACAGGGGGTGACTTCATCCAATATTTGAGGCACCGCAGCCTCAGCAGGGTCATCCTCACTTTGTGCCGCGATGTTTTCCTGGCTGAGGGATTTTCCCTCCCCCAGGACCTCACAGAAATGCTCAGCAAATCTGCGAACCTGTTCCTGGGGGTCGGAAATTGGATCACCGTTTTTTCCCCTAATGATGGTAATAGGTGTGGCGCTGCAGGTTACTTTTTTGATGGAGTTAAATAGAGATTTGTGATCACGGGCCACTGAGGCAGACTCCATCTCCTCAGCAACCCGCGACCACCACCCATCCTTGCAGCGCCTCACGGCTCTCCGAACCTCCGAGCGAAGGCTGCGGTAAGCCTCCTCATTCTCTGACGTGGGATTCTGTAGCCGATGACAGTGGGCCTGTCGCTTTTTCTCAACCATCCTGAACAACTCCTCTGTCATCCAGGGTGTCTGGGGAGGTCTGGACCGCGTACCCAAAGCAGCCATTGCAGCTGCATGAGTCACAGTCCTAAACCTCGCCCATTTACCCTCGACATCAGGAGGAGTCGGGGACGATGCCAATCCCAGCCGCAAGCGATGATGAAATTCTCGCTTGCAACTTTCATCAGATAACTGAGACCAGGCCACTTTAGGTTGGAATGGGGTCCTGGGTGTACACCCACCACCGGAGTGGAAGAATGGCAGGCGCATCTTACAGATGACTAGTCGATGGTCAGAGGGCAGATCAGCTCCACGGTAGGTCCTGGTGTCAAGGACATGGGCTCGCATTCGCTGGTCCGTCACTATGTAGTCCAGCAGATGTTCTTGCTTGGACCCGGCATGCATCCATGATGTTGTGTGGATGCGCCGATGCCGGAACAGCGTGTTGGTAATTACAAGCCCATGGGCTGCACAAAAATCTAGCAGCCTCCTACCGTTGTTATTGAGCTGATCTGGCCCATGCCCTCCAATCACTCCAGACCAGGTGCCAGTATCATGACCAACTCGGGCATTGAAGTCACCCAACATGATGACTCTATCCCGAGGGGCCACTTTAGCCAGGACCTGTGACAGGAGGTCATAGAAGGCATCTGACTCATCGGCTTTGCCTGCATCCCTCCACGGATGTTCATCTTCGGTGGGGGCATAAGTAACCACGACCACCATTCCTCGCCTCCGGTTGATGGGAAGGCGAGCCCAAAGTAGCCTGGGGCTTACAGCTTCCCACACCTCACCGCCACGCTCCCACGCCCCCTTCATTCTTTTGTTCAAAAGAAGACCCACACCCTGTTGTTTGGCAGTCTGCTGCCCCGAGTAGAGGACTGTCCACCCCTCATGGTGGCAGGAGCCAGAGCCGGTCCACCGGACCTCCTGAATGCCGCATAGATCCAGGCGGTACCGGTCCAGCTCCCGACAGAGGAGTGGCAGCCTCTCCTCTGCAGTGAGCGTTCGAACATTCCACGTGGCCAACCGTAGTGGCTTTTCGTTGTTTCTGGAGTAGCCCCGAGGGTAGGTATTCAATCTCCTGGCTCCGCCAATTGGGGTTTGGCCAGGAGACGTCATAGACGCCTGGCCCCCCGGGGCCTCCGGCACAATCACACACACACACGTACACACACACACGTACACACTCACACACACTCACACACACGTACACACACACTCACTCACCTTGCCCCCAGGAGAGGCAGCCAGGCTGCGCGTGTGTCTCCTGCCCTTGCAGGTGGAGGAGGTGCCCGGAGAAATCACACAGGAGGATTTGGCCACGGACGACGTGATGCTCATCGACGCCTGGGACCAGGTGAGACAAGGCCTGTGCGTCGCCTTCACGAGGGCCCTCGGAGAGCGGTAGTGAGGGGGTGGTGAGCGGGTGGTGAGCGGGTGGTGAGGGGGTGGTGAGGTGGGTGGTGAGGGGGTGGTGAGGTGGGTGGGACCCCAGCGTGCGCTGCGCTGTGTTGGTGTGACGTGTCGGTTGCGCAGCGGAGTGGTGCTGTTGCGGTGTGTGCAGTCATGTGGTGTGTGTTGTTGTCGGTTGTGCAACGTGGTGTGAGGTGTATTTTACTGCGGCGTGTAATGCGTTGTGGTGTGTGTTGTCGTGGTGTGTGGCGGTGTGTGTGTGTGATGTGGTGGCGTGTGCGCTGCGATGCGGTGTGCGTTGGTGTGTTTGTGTGTAGTGTGATGTTGTTGGTAGTGATCCAGGGTGTGTGTTATGCGATTGTGTGTCTTATGTGCATATAACATTATATGGAGCGGACTAGGGAGTGTCTTATGCGCTGTCGTGTATCCCGTGATTGTGTGTGCTATGTTGTTGTTGTTGTGTTGGGCGGTCGTGTTATTATGCAGGGGAGAGTATATTATCCTACCGTGTACCCGTGCGTATATGGGATTTGTATCGCCACTCACCTCGTTCTGCTCCCCAGATCTTCGTCTGGATCGGCAGCGATGCAAACGACGTCGAGAAGAAGGAGTCCCTGCAGTCAGGTGTGTTCATGCACAAAGACAGAGATCCCCCATGCAGCCTTCGGCAGACTTTGGGTGCAAGTGCTTTTAGCGAGTAGCACCTATAAAGGCTGGCGCGGCACACGAGGGGGTGGGTGGCCAGCACCAAGCCTGGTCGCCTTTACCCAGCGGTGATGTTTACACATCGTACCAGGTACTCATTTGAGGCTGAGTCGACCTAGGCGAGGCCCAGTACCACACGCGCACACACACACGCGCGCGCGCGCTACAGTCATGACATTTGCTTACCCAGAAAATCACCGAGTCTCAAGTCTCCCTGTCGAGAGTCGCCGTTACATTGCCACGTTTGGAGAATGCCGTGACTGTAATTGACGATGTTTAAAGCACCCACGCGGGTGTTCACGGTCGTGCCGTACCGCCAGCCATACCGCGTCGATTTGCACGGCATTCCTACGCGAACCGGGCGCCTCCATTTCGATTGCGTCAAATCGTTTCGATCAGAAGCGGCTAAAAACTGACGCGGGACACCACTCCACCTCATTTTGGCGAACTTTCCGTAAAATCACGGCGGTGGTTTTCCGCCCCTCCCCCCCCACCAAACCCGCACCACGACCGTGAATTTGACTCGGCAACTGCAGCGGCAAAACCGTGGCCACGGTTGTTTTCGCCGACACGGCAAAAATACATTTTTATTCTAAAATATATATTTTTAAATCCTACAAAACACACAAAACTAACGCCGTCAACCACGTGACCGCCCCCCCCCGCGTCTCCCCGTCCCGACAGCGGAGCGCTACCTGGAGACGGACCCTTCGGGCCGTAGCAAGCGCACCCCCGTGGTGGTGGTGAAGCAGGGACACGAGCCCCCCACCTTCACCGGCTGGTTCCTCGCCTGGGACCCCGACTACTGGCAGCAGGACCCCTTCGAGAGGGCCAAGGCCGAGCTGGAGGCCGGAAACCCCATGTGAGGGGAGCGACGGCGCTGCCAGCAGCAGCAGCAGCAGCACACACAGCACGAGCAGAAGCAGCACAACAAGCAGCAGCAGCAGCACCAGCGGTAGAAGTACCGTCAGCAGCAGGAACTTTAGTGATAATAGCCATAGCAGCAATGAAGATGCAGTAGATCAATTGTAGTGCCAGCAGTAGCGCCACGATCACCAGCAGCATGAGTAGTGCCAGCAGTGTCACCTGCATCAGCGCCTTCAACGGTAGCAGCTGCATCGTAGTTGTCATCAGCATCGTCAGCATCAGCAGCATCTTCAACATCACCAGCATCATCAGGAGCATCTTCAACATAAACATAATCATCAGCAGCAGCAGCAACAAAAGCAGCATCAGCAACACAAGGAATATAAACATCGCTATCATCAGCTACCCAACTTTGCGATATATTTGCAGGCTCGTTCCATATGAGATATTCACTTTTCCGATGATCATAGTAATAATCTTGATCATAGCGACGACAACGACGACGATGATGACAGTATTAATGTTGGTTTTGTTTTGAGTGTCGTGATGGCTTCTCAGATCGACCGACCTGCGGACGCGAGCCATGAGCCATGAGCCGTGCGTGTGTTCGACCCCGTGTGCCCCGAGCCGTGTGCCCCGAGCCGTGCACCGTGCGTGTGTTCGACCCCGTGAGCCGTGAGCCATGAGCCATCAGCCGTGCGTGTGTTTGACGCCGTGAGCCATGAGCCGTGCGTGTGTTCGACGCCGTCGTGGAGGGGTGATGCGCGACGAGCTCCTCACTTGGCGTGCAGTGAAACGCACGGGCGGAGCGACACCCCGGGGGTCCGAGCCGCGAGTCGACGGAAAATCCGACCACCAGCTGATCGGTGTTTTTTTTGCGGGGGGGGGGGGGGGGGCGTATGAAGTGCGTTCCGTGCGGTGGGATTCGCTGTGTATGGCGCTCATCAGCAACAGCAGCAGCGCTCCGCCCTATAGCCCGGACGCCACCCAGCCAGCCGGTGACTCCCTTCCACTCGATGTCACCAAGGTAAAGGCGCAGCACTGCAAGTGCTCGCTCACGCCACCGCTGGTGGAAACGCCTCCACTAGAGGGAGCTCTCAAATGTCCCCCCCTCCCCCTCCATACGATATTTGGCCTACTCTTCCACGCCGTCTTGGAAGAGGTGCGAGTCACCCACACTTTAGCCCCCACCGCGCGCTCGGCCTGCCAAGCTCCGCGCGCAGGGGACGAGGGCGTCGCGTTTTTGGTTCCGTGAGAGGTTTTTGTTGTCGTTGGACCGCTCGTTTTGTACGGCCCCTGTCACCCCCTGCACCGTGACGATTAAACTCACTCCGCGAAGACCAACGCTGGGCATCTCGGGATCGAGTTTGTATTATTGTTGTTATTGTTGTTGTGGACCGGTTCAGATATCACTCGAGCGAGATACGCGGGCAGGCTAGTGGGCTTAGAAGAGTCTCTGCTAGTCGATGGATCGTGTAAGTGCATGCAGGTCTATGGCTCTCTACGCTAGTCTATGGATCATGTACGTGTATGGGAGTCTATGGGTCTCGATGTAAGTCGATGGTAAAACTAAATTACTGCTTGTTTGCCAGAGCTTGATTCTGCAATATCTCATGGAAAATATTCATCAGCGTCATTGTGCAGAACACAATTATCAGGATAATAATCATGTTGCCTACGTCCCGTAGCCTGCACATACCTGATGGTACATCACCACTCCATCAGCCACGCAGTCTCGTCGGTGGCTTCATGTAGTAAGCATTGGTGTAACACATCAGCAGAGTCAGGCTTCTCTCAACCAATGCTGCCAATCTTCGAGGACCTCTCTACGGATTTTTGGCCGAGATAAGGGAGGAACGATGTGAGCCCTGGACAGGGTTTGAACTCATGAGTTGTAGCGCGGTGTGCTCACCGCTGCGACATTTACACACTGACACATTCGCATCGACTGCTACACCCAAAGACGAAGATCCCCGTGTAGCCTTTACTAGACTGTTGGGGCAAGTGCTGTTAGCGAGCACCTGTGTGAAAGCCGGCACGGCACACGAAGAGGGGGTGGGTGGATGGCCATCACCACAGCCACGAAGACAATCACACACACACACTCACCCACACACACTCTCACCACACACACACTCACCACACACACTCTCACCACACACACACTCTCACCACACACACTCCACACACTCACCACACACACACACTCTCACCACACACACTCACCACACACACTCTCACCACACACACTCCACACATACACTCACCACACACACACACTCTCACCACACACACACACCGTCTCACCACACACACACACTCTCACCACACACACTCACCACACACACTCTCACCACACACACACTCTCACCACACACACTCCACACACACACACTCTCACCACACACACACACTCACCACACACACACACTCTACACACACACACTCTCACCACACACACTCTCACCACACACACACACTCACCACACACACACTCACCACACACACTCTCACCACACACACACTCTCACCACACACACACTCACCACACACTCTCACCACACACACTCCACACACACACTCACCACAAACACACACCACACACACACTCTCACCACACACACATACTCACCACACACACACACTCTACACACACACTCTCACCACAAACACTCTCACCACACACACACACTCACCACACACACACTCACCACACACACTCTCACCACACACACACTCTCACCACACACACACACACACCACACACTCTCACCACACACACACACACTCTCACCACACACACTCACCACACACACACTCTCTACACACACACTCTCTACACACACTCTCACCACACACACACATACTCACCACACTCTCACCACACACACACACTCACCACACACGCACACACACTCACCACACACTCTCTACACACGCACTCACCACACACACACTTACCACACACACTCTCTACACACACACTCTCTACACACACACTCTCTACACACACACTCACCACACACACACTCACCACACACACACTCATTACACACTTTCTACACACTTTCTACACACTCACCACACACACACTCACCACACACACTCACCACACACACACCACACACACGCTCTCTACACACACACACTCACCACACACACTCTCACCACACACACTCACCACACACTCTCACCACACACACTCTCACCACACACACCACACACACACCACGCACACACTCACCACACACACTCACCACACACACACTCTCACCACAAACACTCTCACCACACACACACACCACACACACACTCACCACACACACACACTCACCACACACACACAATCACCAAACACACTCACCACACACACACTCTCACCACACACACTCACCACACACACTCACCACACACACTCACCACACACTCTCGCCACACACTCTCGCCACACACACTCACCACACACACTCACCACACACACACCACACACACTCTCACCACACACACTCTCACCACACACACTCACCACACACACCACACCAACTCTCACAACACACTCTCACCACACACACACACACACTCTCACCACACACACACGCTCGCCACACACACTCCCACACACACCACACACACCACACACACTCTCACCACACACACTCACCAAACACACTCCCACACACACCACACACACCACGCACACTCTGTATACACACACTCACCACACTCTCACCACACACACTCACCACACACTCTCACCACACACACACACTCTCACCACACACACACACACTCTCACCACACACACTCACCACACACACACACTCTCACCAGACACGCACACTCACCACACACTCACCACACACTCTCACCACACACACTCACCACACACACTCACCACACACACACACTCACCACACACACACTCTCACCACACTCTCACCACACACTCTCACCACACACACACTCACCACTCACTCTCACCACACACTCTCACCACACACACACACTCACCACACACTCTCTACACACACACGACACACACACACCACACACACACTCTCTACACACAAACCACACACACACACTCACCACACACACACTCTCTACACACACACTCACCACACACACACTCACCACACACACTCACCACACACACACTCATCACACACTTTCTACAGACACACACGCAGTGTCGGGGCTGTTCCTCAACGAGGGTGTGGTTGTGACACGTCAGACCCAATACCAGCCACCCCTCCCACCTTCAGCATATAAATGGGGGATCTACCCACCCGCTTATCCCCGTCGCTGCACTTCAGGTATCGCTCCAGTGTCCTGCTTGTTACAGGTATGTTCGCAGTCTATCACACGTGCAGAAACATCGATTAGCACGGTGGGCTAGGTACGGTGCCACCGAACTTCAACATACAATGTGCGCAGTACATATACCATGTGCTAGTATCTGTGTGTGCAGTCTATCATACACACAGAGACATATACCATGTGCTAGTATCTGTGTGTGCAGTCTATCATACACACAGAGACATATACCATGTGCCAGTATCTGTGTGTGCAGTCTACCATACACAGAGACATATACCATGTGCCAGTATGTGTGTGCAGTCTACCATACACACAGAGACATATACCATGTGCCAGTATCTGTGTGCAGTCTACCATACACAGAGACATATACCATGTGCCAGTATGTGTGTGTGTGTGCAATCAGAGACATGCGCACACTCACTACTATTTAGCGCGTACATGCCTGCCATTCTGTGTAGTCTATCGCATACATATACAGGTAAATACAGAGACGCCCCCGTATAGCCTCAACACACTGTAGGGGCAAGTTGCTTATTGTGAGCACCTATGAAAGGTGGCCAGCACCACGTCCGGCCATCTTAGTCTTCCCCGATGCTCATGTTTTACTCATTTACGTCTGAGCCTACCTAGGAGAGGCTCACGACAGTGCACATACTACTCGCTCATACACAGACACACTCATAGACAGACAGACACACACTCATACACAGACACGCACACACACTCATATACACAGACACACAAAGATCCCCTGTATAGCCTTAACAGACTGTAGGGGCAAGTGCGGTTAGCGAGCACCTTTGAAGGCCGGCACGGCACACGTGGGGGTGGGTGGCCAGCACCACGCCCGACCGCCTTTGTCTCCCTAGTGGCAATGTTTACACATCGCACCGGGTACTCATTTGAGGCTGAGTCGACCTAGGGGAGGCCCAGGACCGGTTCAGATAATCGTCACTGGTGTTGGCCGTGAGCGGGAATTGAACCCGGGTCATCAGGTTCGTAGCGCAGCGTAGCGCTAACCGCTACACTACCGCTCCCCACACAGACACAAAGACAGACACACACTCATACACAGACACACACACTCATATACACAGACATAGACACTCTCACACACACACTCTCACACACACACACTCTTACACACAGACACACACTCTTACACACAGACACACACTCTTACACACAGACACACACTCATACATGCGACAAAAGGTCCTCTGTTAAAATCTCCTTACAGCCGTGCACAAGTGAATGCGGTAGAGTTCCACGCGTGCACTCCTAAACACACCCAACAGCAACTCCCATTCGCCACAACGTGCCCGTGACGTTGCCGCGGCGTTCGTGCCAGGCTAGGTGCACACAACAAATATATTTTTGGGCGCACACACACAAAGATCCTCCTTGTAGCCTGTAACAGACTGTAGGGGCAAGTGCTGTTAGCGAGTAGCACGTATGAAGGCCGGCACGGCACACGAGGGGGTGGGTGGCCAGCACCACGCCCGGCCGCCTTTGTCTCCCCAGTGGCGATGTTTACTACACACCGCACCAGGTACTCGTTTGAGGCTGACACACGCGCATACTCGAGATAACAACTCCCTTAATCTCTACGCCGTTGTATAGAGAGAGAGCGCCTCTCAGGGCAACCCGGCACACGGCATTGGGTGTGGTTAGGACCACGCCCGGATCTTTTAAGCATCGACAAAGTCAAAGATCCCCCGTGTAGCCTTAACAGACCTTTGGGGCAAGTGCTGTTAGCGAGTAGCACCGCCAAAGGCCGGCACGGCACACGAGGGGGTGGGTGGCCGACGCGCCACGCCCGGCCGCCTTTGTCTCCCCCAGTGGCGGCTCGTGCCATGTCCACGAGGTGGGCCTGTTGTGAGTGGCCTCTGACAAACCTCGTCACGTTATCGGCCTTCCCGTGAAAGTAATGTAACCGTCTTGTCTACCAACGTTAGGCGCTTGTAAACAAGACGAAACCCAACAACAACGCAGTCCAAACGCTGCCCCCATGACCCCCAGGTCCGCACCACGCAACACCTTTGACACTGCCAAGAGCCTAAAGGACAAGCCAAGATGGGCTGACACGACAACTTGGCCAAGGCGAGGCAGAAATAAAAGTGAATTCTGCTTTGCACACCCACACAGCCTGGTCTGTCTAACATACCAGCTCTGGCGAAATGTCCTCACGGGATGCTTTTCCTCGGTCGCATGAGGGCTGGCTGATATCGATTTTCGGTTGATCGGGACCCAGTTGCTTGACATTCAACTTGGCCTGCATATCGTCATCCTTTCGAGGTGAACACTTAGAAGTGATTCCGCAGTGTCCGTTGATAATTACTCCTTCCCCTGCACCTGCCCACACCGCTATCGTTGTTCATTCCTCCTAGAGCGAGCTGCGTGTAGACCGCTCTATTTCCCCCGGTGTAGCCACGCGTGGGGACCTCGTCTCTCGTCACGGCCACGGGCGTCTTTCTCACCGCCCCGAATGGCTCTCAAACGGCGTGGCTACAACGCTGGAAGCTCATCGCAACGAATGAAGGGAAATCTGTCACTCGGACGCCTTCACAGCTCCCCGAGGCACAAATGAGACCGTGGCGTTGCAGCGGTTCCTAGCACAAGAACAACTTGAAGCGTTATCTTCATTGGGCAATTCACGTCGAAAGAATAATTACATTCGATTTTTTTTTAAACGTAGCAAAACAATTGATGGAAAAGTGTTTTTTATTCTAAAAAATAATTTCTCGTCTCCAGCTGCTTGGTTTGTGGCGGCGCCCCAACGCCCCGAGTAGACGAATCGTGCTTGACCAGTGGCGATGTTTGCCACGGCAACACCAGGTACTCATTTAAGGCCGAGTAGACCTACGTGGAAGCCCTGGACCCGATTCAGATATTCGCCACTGTTGTTGACCGTGAGCGGGGATCGAACTCGGGTCGCCGGACGTGTAGCACAGCGTTAAGCCTTGACACACGCGAGCACCTATTGAGTCTGCTCACGTACGCAAGCGAAGCTGATATCAATACCGCACGGTGTGTATTTGTTTTCATAGCCACCACACTCGATACTCGTTTAGGGCTCGGCAGACCTAGAGGGAGTCCCCACCATCTCAGATCTACACGTCGGGTCACGGCAGCCAAGCGGTGAAAGAGCCTGGAACAACCCTTGGATGGGTGATCGCCACCACCCATGAGTGCTGTGTAGGATGATGGGTGTAGCGGGCACTGCGGGCAGGAGAGGGTGGTGCAGAGCCAGCTTGCAATCCGTAATCACCCGAGTGGTGAAGTCTGGTCAAATACCGTCTGGGCCCACGAGGCGCTGTGTGAGGGTCGTCATCTAGCAGTGGATTCACAAAGAGCGGTAAATGCGTGCAGCGTGACCCAAATATCTGATGTACTCGCGTCAAGGGGAATGACCAAATGTGGACGAGTGAAACGTTGTATAAGCGACGTTATTTTCCAGGACGTGTTTAACATTTATAATAATTTTACTGGATTATAGAATAAATAAATATATGTTTTAACACGTGCAGGCACCAATAGGCTCGAATTTGACTTCTATATTTGGCGAGGGGGTGGGGTGTTAACTTTGTCCCTCGCATTCGAATTCGCGGGTGAATATAGTTTTTTTTTAATCTTAGCTGCAAACTACTAAAAATAAGTTAATCAAGGTGTCCAGTTTGGTGTTAATAGTGGTGCAATTATTCAGATTCCCGATTTTAGCTAATTATTTTAACTTACTGTTGCTGGTGAACGTTAGCGCCTCTAGTTGCTGCAGGCGAGAAGCGAACCCCCAGCGTGCACCAGGCACCAGCATCATCGCAATCCATCGTGACCCTGCGATGCCACATTCATGCTCATTCCTGCACATCAACTGCTCCCATCGCTCCATCTCCCTGGTGATTGTGCTCCCAGGAGAAGGTCTATACTTTGGCTGCCATTCCGAAACCAGTCTCGTCTATCTGTCAGCGCCACCGTGACGAGATGTTAATTACCTCGCCGGGTATGCACGGGGTCGTTGGAATCTATCCCAACCCTGACGCCTGTATATTTTGAGTTTCCGTGTCTCTCTGCCCGTGATCGAGTGGACTTTTTTCTCCCCACATTTAGTAATATACGTTTAGAGTATTTGGCTTCTAGAACTGTCCACGTGATAAGCCACTTTGTTGAGCTATAATTTGTGGCCAGGTCGCTTCTGAAAAAGAGCTATACAGCTCAGTGGGCCTTACCTGGTAAAATAACAAAAATCTTTCTTTAGCCCCAACGTGTCCTGGCCAAGCCCACGTAATCAATGTGATGCTTGCGATTTGCATTTCGTCGGTGATGTATTGCATAACTCTGAAAATCATGGAAATTGCATTTTATGTTTTAGCCAGTCCTAATTTTTCTTCAGCCATTGCACCGATATATTGTGGACTCTTTTTTTATTTCTCCCATACACATAAAGAGCTGCGTCTCACCTCGAGGTCAAGTGAGGCCAACTCGAGCCAAATAGTTTTGGGCCGTCCCATAAACATTAGGCAATGATTGACATGGTAAATCAAAACGTTAAATTATTCCATCACCGTACGTGAGCCAAATTGAATTATATTTTTTCCCCGGGCACTGAAACGACAAGTTGGGCCCAGACAGGGGCCCAGACAGAGGCCCAGACAGGGGCCCAGACAGGGGCCCAGACAGAGGCACGTGGGTTGCTGTGGTTGTGTGGCATTGGGTGCCAGAGTCGTGGGCCCTCAAACCTGGCGCACACCCTGCCCCCCCGCAGGCGTTCCCCGACAAGGGATAGGCTCCGCGTGACAGCCGGCTGAACAGGTAACTTAGAGCAGGTGATGTATTGTCGGTGCCTCCGGGAGGTACAGGGGGGGTGGCGGGGGGGATAATAACTCCCAATACCAGGAGGGGGAGTGCCTCCTTTGAATGCATTGTCTTAATTAAGTGGATTATTATTATGCAAGACTAAAACGTTTCATGTCCTGGAGAGACTTACAGGTTTCCCAGGACAGCAGCCACCTCGACAAGTAAGCGATGCCAGGCAAACCTGACCAGGTGGCAACCAGGCGGGGCGGGGGGGGGACTGTGGGGTTAGAGGGAGTGGGTCGCTTTGCGGTAACCCGCATCGGGTGTTGGGAGTTGTGCGACCCCCCACGTGACCTGCTGAGCCCTACCCAGCTGTCGTGGGATTGCCACTCCCGCCAGGTGAGAATGAAAGTCCCCTCCGGTGCCGTGCACAGCGATTGTGTCTCTCTCACAGAGCCACCCCTTCTCTGGCTGATAGACGACAGAAAATCGGTCACGAGATTTTCTGCATTCGGATTTGGCGCCACCCATACAGCGCGAGCGCTTTCACCGCGATAGGGGGCGTGGGGTGACGACGCTGTCGTGTTTTTGCATTGTTCTCACCTCGCGCCCCGACTGGACGCCTCTGGAAAAAAGAGCTTCATAGCTCATCGGATTCCTCCTGCATGAATACACATCCGGCCGGCGCGTGTCCGCACTGACCGCTGCCCGCACTGCACCAGTGCGGTGCACGGTGGCATCACTGTCGTTTTGGACACGTGGTCACTCGTCCCGACCCTTTCGTGTACCCGCCTCGACCTCCGTCCCCAGCGAGTCCGACACGCGACCTCGGCGCCGCGCGTGTACCTCGGTAATACCCCGAGCAAACACCCTCGCGGCGAAGTGTGGCCGAGCGACCCCCCCATGATCGACACGGCGCCGGTGAAGCTCCTTCGTCCAGCGGCGGCTTGACACGAGCCGCAATTAAAATTGTTAACATTTCCGTTTTCACGATGTAGCGCGGACGAGATGAGAGCAACGGCAGTCGACGTCACCGAGGCTCGCAGAGCCAAACGAAGGCATCGGCACAACGGGACCAAGGAGGCAATGCACTCAAGCCGAGTAGGGCAATGGGCACCGTGGCATTCATTCCATGGCGCTTGGGATAGACGGCCCACGGTGTTTAATTCAACAGGCCCAGGAGCATTGTTGTCCTGTGCTCGTATGCTCCCACGCCCATGCTTCCCGCCTTCAATCCGCAGTGACCATCGTGGTGAAGTATGGTCTTTTCACCCCCCCCCCCACCCACGATAGGCACAGCAGTGGACTGACAAAAGGGGGCTGTAGCTGTCCGCTATCAACTTTCCCTCCAGTGTTGGAAGTTGGTAGGGTGGCTGGTTGTGTGTGGCGGGGTAGGGGGCGGGTGTCTTCGCCTCTTCCAAGGTGACTGGCAAGCGTGGAAGAGTAGGCCAACTGCCATCGAGAGAGGTGCTCCCGAGTCACTCCAGCGGAGGCCCCATCCGCCAGCAGTGGCGTGGGCAATTGCAGGGCTGCGCCTTGACATCGTATCTACAGGATCAGGGCGTACGGGAGGCAGGGAGCCTCACGGATTCAGGTTACAGCAGCGCTGAGAACCGGTTGGCTGGGTTGTTTCACAATAATTAACCTGGACCACACCACCCTCGTAACACTCACTTCCAGCAAACTCGTATAACACAGCCGTGCAGTGCACGCGACACACGCATGTAACACACCCATACAGCAAGCGGATATAAACACATCCATGCAACACGCGCGTATGCTACACATTCATGCAACACAGACACACCATTGAACATGAACACACATCCATACAACTCGCACACCCATTCAACATACACTATGAACTTACATACACACGTTTAAACACTCACTCCTACACCTAGACAACATGAGCACACTCAGGGCCATACAACATCTGAACCCACCATACAACATGCGAACCTACACACACAGACACCGGGCAGTAACAGCCTTGGGCTCCGTGTCAGCCCGAGACAAAACTCCATGCTCAATCCCCCCGTACCTCTCTTCACTATTGAGGACTTACAGCACAGCACACGGCAGATGCCTTCGTAGTGCGACTCACGACCTCCTCTTGATACCAAGATCCAGGACGGTCACGTCTATGCACCACTTCTCGGTGGCTGCCCCAACAGTCTGGAACGCCGTCCCCCTGCGCATTCGCAGCATCAGCTCGGTCGTCTCCTTCAAGAGACACCTACAGCCACGCTTTCGTGTGACTCTGAGCTTGGCTCCGCGCCTCTGAGTTGCGGCCGTTACATGAGCAAATTTGCGCGCGTTATTAAATTGCATCATCATTATTATTATTAATCCACTGGCGGATGAAGGCCCTCCCCGAGGCGTCGCCACCGCTCGCGATCCCGCGGTGCGATCGCCCGCCCGGCACCGCGTTGCGCACGAGCCGATTTCACCGCTCCGTCTCCCGTGGTCGACGTTACCCCTCGGGGTCGCGTTGCATTCCTCGGCTGCCGCTCCATCGACGTTCTCGACCGTCGCTTTCTTCGCTCGCTCGCGCAGTGCGCTGACAAATCCCTCGCGCGCCCATTTAGGAATGTGGAAATTCCACCGTTGTCTCCTCGGGGTCTGTCGTCCAGGAGACGTGGGTGTTACCTCGACGCCCATCCGAGCGAGACAATCGCTCGGATGGCTTCGTTAACGAATAGCGCTAAGCTTCTCACTTGGCTGGCGCCGTGACTTAGCGGCGGAGTGGCGGTCCCCGACACGACCCCCAGGCGACGTGGCTCTGGACCCTGCCACACCGCGGTGAGGGTGACGACCACAAACCTCGACATTCCTGTCTCGCTGCAACGCCAGGGACCGCATCCATTCAAGTCTCAAGCTGCTCTTTATTCCAACAGTATTATTATTTTATTCTGACAAGTTTACTCAATCAGGATAAAAAAATTCGGTATTTTATTAATCATTTATTGAGCAAATAAGTCGCATCAGTTGTGTTCGCACTTGTGCCGTGAAGCAGTGCAATTGCCTGAAACGTCGCCGATTATGTATTTATTCTTTTAAAGCCACACATGCACACGGTGTTATTGATGAAGGTGTGAAGGTTGTTGTTAATTGTTCATGTGCACCGCTGCCAATGAGGCAGCAGCAGCCTCACCGAATATCAGACGGCTGCCATCGCCCACACGCTCAGCAATTCGCGTGAGAAGTGATTCCTTCCTTTGTGCAAATTGTTCCACCTTACGCCGAGTGAGTGAACAAACCCTGTGCGGATGCAACAATACAAAATGAGACGATGGTAATTCTTGAGTAGAAGAATCGTAACAATTCCACGCAAAAGAGTTACAACCCCCAGTTTGCACGATCCAATCGCATGCGATGGCAATAACTCGGTTTCTCAGCGTGTGTGACTTGATGCACCGACTGAGCGTTGGCAACTTCTGGTAGTGCCCGGCTGCTGTCCGCCTGGCTGCTGCTGCTGCCTTGCCGCTTTGCCTGTGGTTCCTCGCCAACCGTGACAGATGTATTTTAAAATCAACGACGATGCTATATACATGTAAACACTCTTTGGTTATTTCGGTAAAGTCACGTAGAAAATAAAATCAAACACAATAATAGAATACGACATTTCGGTTGCAAAACAAGCAACCGTCATCAGATAAGAATGAATGATAAAACACAGACACGGGAACAGCACAGGCAGACACACATGCAGAGAGAGAGACACAGACAGACACACACACAGCCGCACACACCAAGACAGTACCAGCTCCACTAGGAGCCTGGGTCCAAAACCAGGTTTTTCAGCCACCCCTGACGAAACTTCATTCTCCTGGGTAGTTGACTCGACGGTGCCAACCCACTCACCAAAATTAACCCACCACATTCATTAGATGTGGATTTCACTGAATCCTGCTTATTCTGAGAATCAATCATCGTGGTTTGATCTCCATGGGACAACCGCAGGTTACACCCCGCCCCCCTCCCCATCGCCGCACCCCTTGCGCGATTCCTGGGTCCGCTGAAATACAAACCTACTTGCTGTACTGCTATCGCCTGGCCCCAGCTCTCCACGTGAGCCTCCAACCCTCGCTTCCATGGCGCACGATCGCAAGGGGTCCTCCCGGCCATCCCCACAGCTCCACGGCCCACATCTCATCGTCTCGTTCCATCTCCCTCCCCGCACCTCCTCCCCCGTCCTGTTGACCCCCAGACACCCCCGCGACCTAAAGCCATGGTGCTGCACGCGGGGTTCAAGGGCGCGGGCCAGGAGGCAGGGCTGCAGGTGTGGAGGGTGGAGAAGCTGAGTCCCGTGGCCGTGGCGCGCAACCAGTACGGCAACTTCTTCACGGGGGACGCCTACGTGGTGCTCAACAGCGTCGAGACCAAGCGTGGCGCTGCCCTGCAGTACGGCCTGCACTTCTGGATCGGTGAGTGGGTCCCCTGTCACCCCTGCCCCGTGTCTGTCCCCCCCCCCCCCCCAACCCATGTCGCTGTCTCCACTCAACTCCCCGTGTCCCCAACCTTGCCTGCCCCCACTGGACATCTGTGGAAAAGTGTCCATAATAGAGGTTTTTTGGGTTCGATCGTGTAAATATAAACGCATAGTTATACCCGCCACCACACGTAAACAGAATCGTGCAAATTCCTTACAAGTGCAACACACCGGTGTGTTGGAGAGTAATTACAATATTTACGATGTATTTACGCGATCTACCCCAAAAACCTCGAATGGATGATATTGGTCGCTGAAGCCTAGGTGTTAAACTGTAATAAAGAGCTTTATAGCTCATCGCATACCTTCAGTATAAATAAATATTCGGATTCTGAGATAGCGAGTCCAGTGCAGATACACAACTCGCATTTTATTACGTCTCCGTGTGTCCCCCCGCGTGTCTCCGTGTCTCCGCGTGTCCCCCCGCGTGTCCCCGTCTCTCCGCGTGTCCCTCCGTGTGTCTCCGTGTCCCCGCGTGTCCCCGCCGCAGGTAGCGAGTGCTCTCAGGACGAGTCCGGCGCTGCTGCCCTGCTCACCGTGCAGCTGGACGACTCCCTGGGGGGGCGGCCCGTGCAGTACCGCGAGGTGCAGGGACACGAGTCCAACTCGTTCCTCTCCTACTTCAAGGGCGGCATCAAGTACAAGGTGCGTGCCCGCCCGCTCGGCCGCTCGCTCGCCCTCCCGTTGTACGCTCCCGCAGCGAAACGCTGCCGCCTTGTCCCACGAGGCTGCACGATGTCGCTCCCGCCGGTATACGTCGCCAACTGGGACGTGGATCAATCCGGCCACCTTTCTGGAGGGCGAGTCCCCAATGGCAACGCGACGTCACGCTCAAGTTTCGGTTCGCTTCGGACGATCGCCACGAGAAGTCTTTGTGACTCCCGGCCCCCCACGTTCCAAAAACAACGATCTCCCAGGTAGTCTTCATCAGACTGTTGGGGCATGTGCTGTTAGTGAGCAGCACCTATGAAAGCCGACACGGCGCACGAGGGGGTGGGTGGCCAACACCATGCCCAACCGCCTTTGTCTCCCTGATGTTTACACAGCACACCGGGCACTCGTTGAAGGCTGAGTCGACCTAAGGTAGGCCCAGACCCGGTTCGGATACGCGCCACTGTTATTATTCGTAAGCGGGAATCGAACTCGGGTCGTCGGGTTCGTAGCACGGCGCGCTAACCGCTGTGCCATTGCTCCCCGCATCCCCATACGACGACAACGACAACAACAACAACCGCCATTCGCCACTAAGCGGCGGTGACTACACCACGGCGCTTGTGCCAGGCTATGCGCACGTTGAGGCCACGTGAAGTGTCGAACGCCCGCTGGCAGGAGGTCACGGGACAGACCCAGGTGCCACGGGTTGACTCGCTGACGGACACAGTTGGACGGCCGGACGGAAAGACACAGGGTGGATCAAGGGACGGACGGACAGGCCAGAGCAAATAACGCCGTCGGCCCGAGTTGGACGACGTTCATCGCAAGCAACGCTTCTGATCCCTCCCGTGCAGGCGGGCGGAGTGGCCTCGGGCTTCAAGCACGTGGTGCCCAACCTGGCGGACGTGAAGCGGCTGCTGCACGTGAAGGGGCGACGCACGGTGCGTGCCACCGAGGTGCCGCTCTCCTGGGAGAGCTTCAACCAGGGGGACTGCTTCATCGTCGACCTGGGGGCGGTGAGGATGGACACGCACAAAGACAACGATCCCGCCAGAATAGCCTGTTACGAGGCCTCTGTGGCAAATCCTGTTTGCGAGTAGCACCTATGAAGGCCGGAACAGTATACAAGAGGGTGAGTGGTGGTCAACACCGCGCCCAGCTGCCTTTGTCTCCCAAGTGGCGATGTTTACACCGTACCAGGTTGAGGCCGAGTCGATCTAGGGGAGGCCCAGGACCGTTTCAGATAATCGCTACCGCTGGTGTTGGTGGCCGTGAGCGGGAATCGAACTCGGCTCGCCGGGTTTGTAGCACATCGCGCTAACCACGACGCTGCCGCTCCCCATACAAGGACACCCATACACCCGCACACACACACGCAGATGAACACTTGCACAGAGACTTTATAACAAAGCGGTCCTCGTTTTACTGACCTGGGGGGCGGATGGTTGCTCGCGGTCTCCCTGCGCAGAACATCTACCAGTGGTGCGGCTCTAACAGCAACCGCTTTGAGAAGCTGAAGGCGACCCAGGTGGCCAAGGGGATCCGCGACGAGGAGCGAGGAGGTCGCGGAAGCATCGAGATCGTCGACGAAGGCTCCGAGCCTGCAGCCGTCCTCGAGGTGAGGCTCCCCGGGAGGGTCGGGTCAACCCGAAGGGTTCGATTGGCGAGAGGCCCGGGTTGGCCGTGGCGGCGTGCACCACGGAGACTCGGCGACGAGGGCCCGCTCGCAGCCGCACGAGCTCGGACGGACCGTGGCGTCGCACGGCCGTCGCGGCGAGAGGAGGAGCCGTTTTCGGGGAAGGCCTTCATCCAGCAGTGGATGGGTCATGGCTGCTGCTGCTGGTGCTGTTGATAGTGGCGGTGACTGGCGGTGACTGGCGGTGACGGCGGCGGTGACTATTTTATGATTTTCGACCTCCAGGTGCTCGGCGCGAAGCCTTCTCTCCCGGCCGCCAGCGAGGACGACGACCAGGTGGACCTGTCCAACCGGGGCTCGGCCAAGCTCTACAAGGCGAGCGCCCGGTGACGGCTGCCCAACCGCTGCTCTCGATAGTGCCAGCGCGCTCGCTCCATCTGTGCGCGTGTCGCGGGCGAAGGGTCGGGGGTTACGGTAACGCTCGCACGGAGCGTCCAGCGTCAACAGAACCATCGCGTAAAGCTGCGTTGCTCTTGGGGACTTGTGTGCCATCTCGTTCTGCGATAGCCACCAATCTCCCCACCCCACCCCCCCCTCACTGTGGCAACCTCCGCTCCTTCTGCTGTGCTGCTCCCGCTGGCTCCGTGCGAGCGCCCCACCGCGGCGGTGTCGTTCGCTCCCTCCGTCCGTGACGGGAGATGGGGGCACGGAACGCCCGTTAAAGATGGTCCGATACATAAAACCAAGCATTCGTATGCCGTCGTCCTGCTATCGACGATTCGCCCCGTTCAGTTTGGTGGAAGTTAACGATTGTTTTGCCCGGAACCTAGCGCTAGAAGCCAGCAGTCAAGCGGCTAAGCCCGTCGCGTGCGCCGAGTGATGCGCGGCTTCAACAGCAATGTTCTCATCGCCGACTCGGTATTTCCGAGGCCAACCGCGCGTGACGCGGTGTTACACAAAACCCTGCATTATGCGCGATTTATCTTCCTTGTTTCTTTCCAAACTCCCCCTTAATGGAGACCCAGAGAGTTCATCCACCGCCGCCACTCTACCTCTCTCTCTCTCTGCCACCGCCGCCGCTCTCGCTCTCGCCTGCGCGCAGGTGTCGGATGCCGCGGGGGATCTGGTCACGTCCGAGGTCGGAGGTCAGAGTCCGTTCCAGCAGGAACTCCTGCAGAGCGGCGACTGCTTCATCCTCGACAACGGAGGAGGGGGGCGCATCTTCGTGTGGAAGGGTGAGCGGCGGCACGGGTGGAACGCGGCCGCATCGATCGATTTAGATTCATTACAAAAAGTTAATTATTACCCCCCCCCCCAACCCCCATCCAGTGATATCTGTCAAATTATTACATCGCAGGATTGCAAGAGGTCGTGGCAGTGGTGGCTTGGGGAGGCCTTTATCCAGCAATGGCTTTAACATGGCAAATGACGATGGTGATGATGATGATGATGTTGTGCTATTGGTGCCGTGTCACGAGACTAAGAAGGTATTCTGATCTCTCGCACAGCAGCGTAAACAATCGCGGGAGAGAATCCCAACCAATCGTAGACGCGCGTTCCTTGAGCCAGGGCCCATGTAAATCGCGCTACGGCGCACTGCCACTGGAATGGAGCCGGCAAGGAGCAGGGAAGGGTGGAGGTAGTGGAGAAGACAGTGCATGTAGAGGGGGGGAGGTGATCAGGCGGCGATGGGAGCAGTAGAGAAGGGACAGATGGAGGTTAAACAAGGATTGGATGGAGAGGAAATGGGATAGGAGGAGGAGGCGAGAAGAGAGGGGAGGATGCGCAGAGATGGACGGAGGGGAAGGGAAGCGGGAGGAGGGAGAGATGAGCGGCGGGGGGGTGGAGGGAGTCACGTGGGTCACGTGGGTCACGTGGGTCGCGTGGGTCCGTGGGTCGCGTGGGTCACGTGGATCGCGTGGGTTGCGTGTCGCGTGGCCCAGGCCAGGAGGCGAGTGCCGATGAGCGCAAGGCCGCCCTGCAGGCTGCGGAGGCGTTCATTGCGCGGATGGGGTACGCCAACCACACGCAGGTGAGAGGCCGCGCGCCTGCGTGTTGCATCCAAGACACCGTGTGGACATTTCGACATCACAGCGACAGTGATTTACATTGGTTGTCGTGAGCCAGTGGTGGAAATTCCACATTCCCATGGTAGGGCCAGGCTATCTAGAGGACAACCACTTGACTCGCTCACTCGTGCACCCTCACACCAACTCACCCACCCACTCACCCACTCTGAAACCCACCCACCAAATAATCCAATCGACTTGCCAACTTGCTCACCGACTCGCCCACCCGCCCGCTCATTCGATCGCCCCCGCCCACCGGACGACTCGCTCACCCACGCCCTCGCCCACTTACCTATGCCCACCGCAGGTGCAAGTGCTGCCCGAGGGAGGGGAGACGCCGCTCTTCAAGCAGTTCTTCAAGAAGTGGCACAGCCCCGGGGACTCGACGGGGCCCGGCGCCGTCTACACCGTGGGCAGCATCGCCCGCATCCAGCAGGTGCCCTTCGACGCCTCCACCCTGCACTCCAGCCCGGCCATGGCTGCCCAGTACGGCATGGTGGACGACGGCAAGGGAGAGGTTCAGGTGAGGAGCGGGGAGGGGGTGGGAGGGAGAGAGGGGTGGGGGTGAACGGGGGGGGGGGGGGGTAATGGGACACGAGAGAGGCTGCTGTTGACCTCGCTCGCACGATCCCCCACCAACACCATTCAGTCACCAAGGCACCCACTCACTCACTCGACCTCTAATCCACCCACCTACCCTCCCGCCCACCTTCCTACCCAACCACCCACCTGCCCATCCAATAGCCCACTCGCTCAACCATCGACCCAATTGCCCACGCACTCGCCAATTCACCCAATACAAATATCCCACTTGCTAACCTACCCAACCACCCACCCACACAATAGCCAGCTCACTCACTCACCCACCCACCCGCTAACCAATAGCCCACTTGCTCGCCCACCCAATAGCCCACTCAACCACTCGCCCACGCACCACTCACATGATGGGATATGAGAGGTAGGTATTAATGACAGAATTGTCTCGGCGGTAGTGCTTCCCTATAGAAATAAATCGCATCATTATGCACAGAAACACCTAAAAAGACACAAAGAGACACGCGCATATCGTACATAACAGACATACACACATTCATGCCTTCCTACCCACGCATGAACGTACACGCGCACACGCACATTCGCGGAGCCACTGATCCACCAACCCCCAACTCGCTGTCCGGACCGACCAGGTGTGGCGCATTGAGGGCCTGGACAAGGTGTCCGTGGATCGCGCCACCTACGGACAGTTCTACGGGGGAGACTGCTACATCATCCTGTACACCTACAAGACGGGACAGATCATCTACACCTGGTGGGGACCGCCACCTCCAACCACAAAGTGTCAACTAGAGCGGCGTGGCGGTGCGGCGGTGCAGTGGGCGGCACCTGTGCCCCACAGCAAAAAGGGACCTGGGCTCGATTCTCGACTTGGGTGCCTCCTCCGAGGTGGCGTAGTTTGTAGATTGAAAAGTTATTTCTTTAGAAATGCTTTTTTTGTTTAGTTTGTTTGTCCTTCTCCTGCACCTCTGATTAGCGCGGTTGGCTATGTACGGTGCGAAAGAAGTTCTACAGTATATGCACACACGTGTACACTATCCCCCCCCTGTTCTGCGTGGGTTTTCTACAGGTTCTCCGGTTTCCTCCCAGAGCAAAAAAACAAAATGTATAATGCAGCCGGTATTAACCAAACATCCCAATGCTGAACATTGACCTGCAAATTACTCAATTGGGATCGCACGCAGCAGCAGCATCGCACCACCGCTGCGAATCCACTGCAGACCGTGCCTGTCTGTGAAACACGGCGCCTTCCTTTGGGATGGCAGATTTGTGCGAATACCATTGGTGCAAATGTTTCGCTTTCAGCGAGCGAACGGGTTAGTCCGCTGTGTAGTGGGTTGGAGAAAAGGTGGTTGCGTGGGTGGTTGCGTGGGTGGTTGCGTGGGTGGTTGCGTGGGTGGTTGCGTGGGTGGTTGCGTGGGTGGTTGCGTGGGTGGTTGCGTGGGTGGTTGCGTGGGTGGTTGTGTGGCTGAGTGGCACGAGTCATTCAGCCGGGTTGGAGGAGGAGTGGACGACGCGGTGACCCAGCAGCACGCTGCGTGCGCGCGTTGTCCAGGCAGGGCCTCAAGGCGAGCAGCGACGAGCTCGCGCGCTCCGCCTTCCTCACCGTGCAGCTCGACAGCTCCATGGGAGGATCGCCCGTGCAGGTGCCACGTACACCTCGCACCACACAGGGACGGCTGACGCTGGCGCGGCAGGGGTAGAGGAGGGGGGTTCCTTTCGGCTGGACCGACGGCAGCAGGGCAATGGAATGGTTGCGATGACGTGCGAGTGATGCGAGGTGCTTTGGGGTGGCCGAGGCACACGAGCAGTGACCCCTGAGCGAGTCGTCCCTTGACACTGGCGGTGGAATTCACGAGCGAGGTTCACGGGAACGGCGACCATGGTGGTAGTGATATAAGAGTGGGTTGAGTGAGGTGAGTGGGTGATTAAGACGGGTGGATGCGTGAGTGAGTGGGTGGGTAGGTGGATGAGTGAGTGGGTAAGTGAGTAAGACGGTGGGTGAGGTGAGTGGGTAGGTGGGTGAATGAGTGGGTAGGTGGGTGAGTGAGTGGGTAAAGTGGGTGAGTGAGTGGGTAGGTGGGTGAGTGGGTAGGTGGGTGGATGAGTAGGTAGGTCCTAAAGGCCAAGTCCTCAACGTGTGTGGAGGAGGAGGAATCGGCGAGCGTGATGACCGTGATGACACCAACACACCGCCGCCGCTTCACCCCCCCCAGGTGCGCGTCGTCCAGGGCTACGAGCCCCCGCACCTGCTGAGCCTATTCGGGGGCAAGCCCCTGGTGGTGCACGCGGGGGGCACCTCCCGCAAGGGGGGGCAGAGCGCCGGCGGGGCCACGCGCCTCTACCAGGTGCGCAGCTCCGCCGCGGGGGGCCTGCGCGCCATCCAGGTGAGGAACCGGCACTCGATGGATGTCCACGCGATGGCTTCTACTCCTCCGGTATCGCACGACGTTGACCGATGACGACGGTGAGCTGGACACGGCCCCGTGACAACTTCTGCAGCGCACCGCGGACGGGTGGAACGGATTCGCGGGGCTGCCGCACGCGGAGCGGCGATTGACCAAAGGACGCCTGGCCCTGCCCTCCATCCCATATGAAACAGGAGGGTGGGCGGTGTTAGGGTCACGGGGGTGGGGGGAGAGCAGTGGGCACGGTAGCAATGAACATGCGTTTTTGCGCGGTACATCCCCGGTATCGCCGGCCCGCACCGACCATCGAACCCCAGGCGGGCCGCTGGGCTCGAACTGCCGGGCCGGCGCGGCGAACACCTGAGCGAGCGCGCCGACCGGCCCGTTGTGCCGCGTGACTCCCCGCAGGTGGCGCTGAGCGCCGCCTCCCTGAACTCGAGCGACGCCTTCGTGCTGCTGGCGGGCGGCGCCGCCACCGTGTGGAAGGGCAAGGGAGCCGAGAAGGCCGAGCAGGAGGCCGCCGCCTACGTCGCCAAGCTGCTGGGGGGCGGCGGGGTCAAAGATGTGGCCGAGGGGAAGGAGCCCGGTGAGTTGAGGGGCGGGGAGGTAGGAGAGGGGTGGGAACGGGGGACAGGGGAGGGGTGAGTTCGGGGGCTTGGCAGGGGACACGTGGGCAAGCGTGATGACCATGATGACACCAGGAAGCTGCTTCCTTTGCGGACCCCACCCACTTTAATATAGAACCGTCCACTTAACCACTAGCACCGCCCACTCAACTACCAGCCCCGCCCACTCAACCACTAGCACCGCCCACACAGGGAGCGATCTCCCTTCTTGCATCAGGGGAGACGGAACCCAGTTAGTGTGGGGATAGGTCCATATGTAGTGGGTTCTACGGAGACACACACTTGAACTTGGAGGCAACACGTTTGTTCGAAGACCACAACGGGGTAACTACATAACCGGGTCAGTCAGTAACCCACTGCCTGACCCACGATGCCGAGCGTAAAGACTGAAGACCGAGGGCCGAAGATCGAAGAGACGTAGCACCGATGGGTTCCATTCAGACAGCCGCAATTGCTCTTGGGACTTCCCTTTTATGCTCCAGAGCGTGGCCTTGCTCCACCTTCGGCCACGCCCCTTTCTGGATCTTAGCAGAAGGTTCTCGACCGAGCATCACGTGTCGCTCAAGCCACCCTTTGGGCCCCGTCGCTACCCTGTCCCGGTGACGTGCCCTCTCGGGTTCACCCAGACTGTCACGTCCTCAATTGCCCTCTCTCTGACCGTCACCAGAACCATGTCCCCTAGGGCCCGCTTTCATGCCATGCCTACTCTGGTGCCAGAGTAGGCATGGCACAGTTCCACTCTTGTGACAATAGCTGGCGTTAAACGCCATAGTGACTCCATTTACGTCACTACATATACATAATAATTTTAATAATTAAGCAAAACGAATACACGCATACCCCTTTGTAGCGCAGGGGATGCGTGCCTGGAAAAGAGAGCACTAAGTGAATCAGCGCTACACAGATGTGTTCTCCATAAGCCCTATGCCTACGACCAACACATTTGGGCTTTATTGGGTTATTGGAACAATAATACAGATGATAAAAATGACTTATGAATACTATTAATGGTACAAAAATGTTAAATAATATAAACTGTACTCACCAGTGCATGGTGCGACTCCGATATGGTGAACTTGCCAGCTTGTGCCTGGTGGTACAGTTCAATCTGTGACTTGACACCCCCCTCTCCCCTTGTGTGAGTGGCGCAGTCCAATCTGTGACTTGACCCCCCTCTCCCCTTGTGTGAGTGGCGCAGTCCAATCTGTGACTTGTTTTAGGGGAAAGCGCTCGTTGGCGGAGAGCGAACGCCATGTCAACTCGAGTACGGATTTTGATCCTCGTGTTAATGTTTTAAATAAAATGTTTTTTTATACATATACATTTTCCCCCGAGACCAAACAGCTCTATAACGAATCAGCGCTGCACGGGGTATGCGTGTAATATTTGTGGCACATTTAAAAATAAAGACAAACATCCCCCCCCCCAATAGCCTGTGACAGATTCTCGAGGCACGTGCTGTTAGTGAGTGGCACCTATGAAGGCCGGCATGGCACACTACGGGGTCGGCGGCCAACTCCACGCCCGGCCACGTCTACACGCACTCTGTGACAGAACCCGCCCCACGTGGTGAAGTATGGTCAAATAATCCCCACGACCTCCCTCTCTCCCTCCCCGCCTCCCTCCGTCCGTCCCCGGCGCAGCGGAGTTTTGGTCGGCGCTGGGCGGTAAGAAGGCGTACCAGACGTCGCTGCGTCTCGCATCGAGCATCTACGACCACCCGCCTCGCCTCTACGCCTGCTCCAACAAGACCGGCCGCTTCCAGGCACGGCAGCCACCCCGCTTGCTGTGCTGCTTTTGGCGGCGATGGCTACGCACGTGGCCTGTCCTGTCGTTTTGTACGGTGTTGGGGTAGCGTGGTGCGGTGTGACGTGGGGCGTGACGCAGTGTGTGACATTGTGGAGTGTGACGTTGTGCGGGTGGCAGGTGGAGCGGGTGCCTGGGGACTTCACCCAGGAGGACATGGCCACGGACGACGTGATGCTGCTCGACGTGTGGGACCAGGTGAGCACTGCCTGGGGAGAGAGAGAGAGACAAACAAGATGCTGCAATAAGAAACGATCTTTACCTCTTCTTCACCTTCCTCCTCCCCCTCCTCCCCCCTCCCCCAGGTGTTCGTTTGGATCGGGAACGAGGCCAACGACAGCGAGAAACAGGAAGCTGAGAAATGCGGTGAGGATGACATCAACCCATTACCACCGACACATCATCCCATCGCCACCGACATCGCATCACCACCGAGACGTCACAACAACAACAACACGTGCATCCACCCACCCTGCTACTTTTTGTTGTAGGACAGAATGAGAATGTGGTGCCCCCTACTGTGCAGGAATCTCAGAAGTAGCTCCGAGATCTCCACTTTCGTCTTCAACACGAAGGGTTTGCCTCTGCTGTGCGCGAGCAGAGTGAACCCCCGCACGCCCCCACTTGCTGTCCGGTGCTGCGTTCACCTTGTGCCACACAGAGGCAGCTGCCACCGTTTGGCGGAGGGCACCCCAGGATGTATTGCATGGGGGGGGGGGGGGGTGTTTCGGCATGAACATCGTTGTTTGTGATTTCTTTGCAATCCCCTCGGGTTTTCGTTTCCCCGTCTCAGCCACGTCGTACCTGGAGACGGACCCGTCAGGCCGCAGTAAGAACACCCCCGTGGTGGTGGTGAAGCAGGGACACGAGCCCCCCACCTTCTCCGGCTGGTTCCTCGCCTGGGACCCCACCAAGTGGGACTCGGACCCCTTCGAGGCGATCAAGGCCTCCCTCTAGGTTCGTGAGAGCTGCGACAGCCGGACCTGGCCACAACCAGCCTGGGGCCTACAATTCCTCAACTCCGTTAACAATCTGCCATGGTTCCTGTCTCTTTTATCGGCAAGGGTCCTTTTTGTAAATCCCCCTGCTCCGAATCTGTGCCGAAAGCCGAGTTTTTGAGAAAGAAAACAGCTGTTTTGCAAACAGCAGCAATGCCATCGAGTCGTTTTTTTTCATTATATCGCTGTTTTTTTCTTCCACAAGCTCAATCGGGTTCAGTGCATTCCAGCCACGGTCGTTGTGGGCCCAGGCAGGATGTTCCACTGTGCGTATATTTAGCATTTGACGTGCGTGGTCGAGAGCAGTGAATTGTGTGATTTGTCTTCATCAGGAGCAGCAGCCACGGTCTATCCACTGCTGGACGAAGGGCTCCCCACAGCATTGATCTAATCGCACGTGTGTGCATACCAGCTGATCGCATAGCTCCATTTCCGCGACAATCAAACTCTAAGGCACTTTCTCTCCTTTGGCTGCCATTCAGTTAGCGGTCTTGACCATCACCATTGGCCATGATGTGCCCTGGCCAAATCCACCAACTTAAGAGTCAAGAGAATGAATGTCTTTTGTGTAATTCATGTGTTCCTCTGTCTCTCGGTGTAATTCCAAGCATGTGCCTCCTGTTTCTTCAGTGATGCTCATTTAGTCATATTCCATTGGCCGCACCCCCATATTACTTAACACGGTGAGCCATTCCCCACGCCAGGTACAATGGTGGTTGGGGGCCGTTGGCTTGGACTGAACCATTCTTTGGAGAGGGGGTTGATGATGTGGTTACGATTGCTTGTCTGGAATTCATGGGGGCTGCTACAATTGGTATGGCTGCTGGAGAGTTGTTTTTCTGTGTGTAAAACTGCCACTCGAGAGAAAAATAAAGAATACAAAAAAAAACAAGTTGGCTGCTGGTTTGTGTTTGTGAGATCAGGGCCTGGGTCCACGCAGAGACGTTTTGCGGGCTGCTGCATGGATACCGTGCAGGATAAATTTCGAGTGCACTTGGAACGTCGACTAGATGCCAGGGTCGGGATCGAACCCATGCCCTGCATACCAGGCGAGGGAGTTACCATCTCGCCATCGTGGCACTCATATATACGCATTTATTTTAAAAAGCCCACAAAAAATATCTATCGTGCTTTACAATGATGGAAAGGCCGATAAATCCTATCGGAGATGTTGGTGGTGAAAGCCACGGCATAGCGATGCGCGGCACTGCTGGCGAGTGAAGTTTGTCTTTAACTCAAACAATCCGGTTGAGTCACAACGGGGAGTGTTGGGCGTGGGGTACGGGTGGCGCTAAAAGAGTCGAGGGGAAGGAATCGAACAGAGAGAATATACAGTGTCCTCCTCCCCCCCCCAAGCTAAAATGGCTGCCCCGGCTTCCCACCCAGCCACTATAAAACTTCCCCCGCCCTGTAAACGACTCGCGCGGAGCAGCGAGAGACGTGCGTTGGAACGATCTCAGCTTTTTTTTTGTTTAAACGGCCGAGCAATACAAGCAACGGAGTAATAAAAACTCGCAGGCGTCTGTGAACGAGCGTGCCCCGGGGGGAGAACTTTCTCGGGCTGTGGCTGCCCCAGAAACTCGCCTGCAAAACACCGCAGCAGATGTGGCCTGGATGCCGTGGGTCGCTCACGGGAGGGGGAGGAGGAGGTTACGATGGCCCGTGGCGGAAATGCCTCGCTCAGGGGCCGCTGGAGGCTGATTCTTTGGTTCTTTCGGTAAAGTCACGTAGATAGAAAAAATAAAAAGTTAATGAAGTCATTTTATTTACGTTTATTTTATTTACTTTTTATTTACTTTTTGATTTACTTTTATTTTATTTACTTTTTTTACTTTAATTTTTTCTATCTACGTGACTTTACCGAAAAAAATCAAAGAACGTGAATTCCTGCAGTCACGAAAGTTTTAAGTCAAAATTTTACCGCTGGGGGCTTGCCGGGTTTGCAGTGGACAGTGATACCTGAAACGGGTCCTGATGTGCGAACCCGCGTTGACCAACGTGGTGAAGTATGGCCGATGTCTGACGTGAGTGTGGAGGGAAGGGGGATAGCGAGACATTGACGTGACGACATTAAGTGGCAATGGTGAAGGTGAGCGGTAGATGGCAGTGCAGCAGTCAAGATTGTGCCGTCTGTCTGTTCGGTCGAATCGCTCTGTCTGGTCGTTCGAAGGATGTGTGCATTGTGGCAAGGTACACACACGCGTGTCGGTGTTTCCCACCTCGCGTTTCGTGTAAGCAGGGTGAGAGAACTCAAGAGACTGGGAGAGAGAGTCTCATTCACAAGAGTGAGTGGGTGGGTGAGTGAGTGGGTGGGGGGAGTGAGGGAGTGAGGGAGTGGGTGAGTGAGTGGGGGGTGAGTGGGTGGGTGAGAGAGTGAGTGGGTGGGTGAGGGAGTGAGTGAGTGGGTGAGGGAGTGAGGGAGTGGGTGAGTGGGGTAGGGAGTGAGTGAGCGGGTGAGTGAGGGAGTGAGTGAGTGGGTGAGGGAGTGGGTGAGTGGGTGAGGGAGGGAGTGAGTGGGTGAGGGAGGGAGTGAGTGAGTGAGTGGGTGAGGGAGGGAGTGGGTGAGTGAGTGGAGTGAGTGAGTGGGGGAGTGAGTGGGTGAGGGAGTGAGTGAGTGGGTGAGGGAGTGAGTGGGTGAGGGAGTGAGTGAGTGGGTGAGTGAGTGAGTGGGTGAGTGAGTGAGTGGGTGAGTGAGTGAGTGGGTGAGGGAGGGAGTGAGTGGGTGAGGGAGCGGTGAGTGGGGGAGTGAGTGGGTGGGTGAGGGAGTGAGTGGGTGAGGGAGTGAGTGGGTGAGGGAGTGGGTGAGTGGGGGAGGGAGTGAGTGAGCGGGTGGGTGAGGGAGTGAGTGGGTGAGGGAGTGGGTGAGGGAGTGATGGAGTGGGTGAGTGGGGGAGGGAGTGGGTGAGTGGGTGAGTGGGGGAGTGAGTGAGTGAGTGGGTGAGTGAGTGGGTGAGTGGGGGAGTGAGTGGGTGGGTGAGGGAGTGAGTGTGTGAGGGAGTGCGTGGGTGAGGGAGTGAGTGGGTGAGGGAATGAGTGGGTGAGGGAGTGGGTGAGTGAGTGAGTGGGTGAGTGGGGGAGTGAGTGGGTGAGTGGGTGGGGGGGTGAGTGGGTGGGTGAGGGAGTGAGTGAGTGGGTGGGGGAGTGAGTGGGTGAGTGTGTGGGGGGGTGAGTGGTTGGGTGAGGGAGTGAGTGAGTGAGTGGGTGAGTGAGTGGGTGAGGGAGTGAGTGAGTGGGTGAGTGAGTGAGGGAGTGAGTGAGTGGGTGAGTGACTGGGTGAGGGAGGGAGTGGGTGAGGGAGTGAGTGGGTGAGGGAGTGAGTGGGTGAGGGAGTGGGTGAGTGGGGGAGGGAGTGAGTGAGTGGGTGAGTGGGGGAGTGAGTGGGTGAGTGGGTGGGGGAGTGATGGAGTGGGTGAGTGGGGGAGGGAGTGGGTGAGTGGGTGAGTGGGGGAGTGAGTGAGTGAGTGGGTGAGTGAGTGGGTGAGTGGGGGAGTGAGTGGGTGGGTGAGGGAGTGAGTGGGTGAGGGAGTGCGTGGGTGAGGGAGTGAGTGGGTGAGGGAATGAGTGGGTGAGGGAGTGGGTGAGTGAGTGAGTGGGTGAGTGGGGGAGTGAGTGGGTGAGTGGGTGGGGGGGTGAGTGGGTGGGTGAGGGAGTGAGTGAGTGGGTGGGGGAGTGAGTGGGTGAGTGGGTGGGGGGGTGAGTGGTTGGGTGAGGGAGTGAGTGAGTGGGTGAGTGAGTGGGTGAGGGAGTGAGTGAGTGGGTGAGTGAGTGAGGGAGTGAGTGGGTGAGTGAGTGGGTGAGGGAGGGAGTGGGTGAGGGAGTGAGTGGGTGAGGGAGTGAGTGGGTGAGGGAATGAGTGGGTGAGGGAGTGGGTGAGTGAGTGGGTGAGTGGGGGAGTGAGTGGGTGAGTGGGTGGGGGAGTGAGTGGGTGAGTGGGTGGGGAGTGAGTGGGTGAGGGAGTGAGTGAGTGGGTGGGTGAGGGAGTGAGTGGGTGAGGGAGTGGGTGAGTGGGTGAGTGAGTGAGTGAGTGGATGAGTGGGTGAGTGAGTGGGTGGGTGAGTGAGTGGGTGAGTGAGTGAGTGGGTGCGTGATTGAGTGGGTGAGTGAGTGGTTATGCGAGTTCGTGAATTCAAGTCGATTTGCGTTACGGGGTGAGATGAAGACACAATTTGCAAAAGCGACATTGCATGTGTCACCAAATATGACAAAGGCAAAGCAAATAAAGCAGTACACGTGTTGCAAATGAAGACATCTGTGCAAAAACAACTGCGTCTAGTGGCTCACGTGTGTGTGTGTGGCGCGTGCGTGTATAGCCTGTATGGGGTGTGTGGGGTGCGGTGTTGAAGCGGTTAGCGCACTGCGCTACGAACCCGGCGACCCGAGTTCGATTCCCGCTCACGGCCAACACCAGTGACGATTATCTGAATCGGTCCTGGGCCTCCTCCCCTAGGTCGACTCAGCCTCAAATGAGTACCTGGTGCGGTGTGTAGTAAACATCGCCACTCGGGAGACAAAGGCGGTCGGGCGTGGTCCTGGCCACCCACCCCCTCGTGTGCCGTGCCGGCCTTCATAGGTGCTACTCGCTAACCGCACTTGCCCCAACAGTCTGTTACAGGCTATACAGGCTATACAGGCTATACGGGGGATCTTTGTCTTTGTGTAGTGTGTAGTGTGGTATGTGGACCGGTGGCGCAACAATGATCGCACTGGGCTTATGCAACCGGTGCACCAAGTTTCTGGGGGAGCGGTGGCGTTGTGGTTAGCGCACTGCACTACGAACCCGGCGACCCGAGTTCGATGCCCGCTCAGGGCCCGACACCAGTTACAATTATCTGAACCGATCATGCGGTGGGGGGGAAGGTGGGGGGGAAGGTGGGGGGGAAGGTGGGGGGGGGAAGGTGGGGGGGGAAGGTGGGGGGGGAAGGTGGGGGGGGAAGGTGGGGGGGGAAGGTGGGGGGGGAAGGTGGGGGGAAGGTGGGGGGGGAAGGTGGGGGGGAAGGTGGGGGGGAAGGTGGGGGGGAAGGTGGGGGGGAAGGTGGGGGGGAAGGTGGGGGGGAAGGTGGGGGGGGAAGGTGGGGGGGGAAGGTGGGGGGGGAAGGTGGGGGGGGAAGGTGGGGGGGAAGGTGGGGGGGGAAGGTGGGGGGGGGAAGGTGGGGGGGGAAGGTGGGGGGGGAAGGTGGGGGGGAAGGTGGGGGGGGGGGGAAGGTGGGGGGGAAGGTGGGGGGAGGGGGGGAAGGTGGGGGGGGGAAGGTGGGGGGGAAGGTGGGGGGGAAGGTGGGGGGGAAGGTGGGGAGACAAAGGCGGCCGCGTGTGGAACTGTCCACTAATCCACCCCGTCGTGTGCGCCGTGCCGGCCTTCATAGGTTCTCGCTAACAGCACTTGTCCCAACAGTCTGTTGCAGGCTATACGGAGGATCTTTGTCTTTTGTATACATGCATGCGCGTGTGTGTATAGCGTGTGTGTGTAAATATATAGCGTGTGTGTGTACACACTCTTATCTATATGGCACACAATGCCACACGCCAAACATCTGGTGGCTTTAACAATGGCCTCGTGAACAACAACAGCAGCCATCACAACCAAAGACAAAGATCCCCGTATAGCCTTAACAGACTGTAGGGGCAAGTGCTGTTAGCGAGCGCCTATGAAGGCCGGCACGGCACACGAGGTGGGTGGTCAGCACCACGCCCGACCGCCTTTGTCTCCCCAGTGGCGATGTTTACACACCGCACCAGGTACTCATTTGAGGCTGAGTCGACCTAGGGGAAGCCCAGGATCGGTTCAGATAATCGTCACTGGTGTTGGCCGTGAGCGGGAATCGAACTCGGGTCGCCGGTTTCGTAGCGCAGCGTAGCGCTCATCACGACACTGTCTCGCCACCACCACCAGCATCA